CCAGAAGCACGCAAGCGAATAGGGTCTGTTGCAACGCCGAGTCTAAAGAGTACGCTGGTGCTCCGGATGCCATTAGTAGAGCGCTGCAAGGCAAAACTCTGCTGTCGCATTTTTGGGTGTCGTTGTCTTGTAGCTTTATAAGATTTCCTGTCAGCCACACATTGGAAATCAGCAAAACAATTATTTGACATTCCTCATGCGTTTCCGGTGACATTTTTTTGGAGTTGCGAGTTGGCATTTTTTTGGTGTAAGGGTTTTGTGGGCGTTTTTTTGGAGTTCCGATTTGGCGGTTTTTCAGCGTTGATTTTCTGTTGGTGTTTTCTTGGAGTTCTGATTTGGTGTTTTCTTGGTGTTGGGGTTTTGTTGGTATTTTTGGGGAATCTTGGCTGGGTATTTATTTGGTGATGGGATTTTGCTGGCGTTGTTGTTGACGCCTTGGTTCGCTGATTCTTCAGGTGTTTTTGCTGCCGTTCTTGACTGCACCCAAAGGATTGTTTGGATACACATAATGAGTGCTTGGCTGTCCGTCTTTGTTGCTGATGGCATCATCACTGCCAAATCACATTGTCAGGTTTAAGGGTGTGGCTGCAAACACAACTCCAAGAAAGAAGACTATGCGCTGGAGCATTCTGTGTAGCACCTGCCGAAACGAATTTTACGATTGACCTCGGACCTTGCTACTTTTCGCAACCGGTTGCCGTGCGCTCACTGAGAAGCCAGGGCCTAGACATCCCCTTTCGAGAGAATGCCAATCTGGACACGAAGACTTTGCAGGAACACCAACCTCGAATCCAGGTTGAACGCAGACACAACCAGGAACGCCAATTTTGACTCCAAATAAATGCCAAAACCAATGCCAAAAAAACGCCAAAACTGACGCCAAACAAATGCCAAAAAAATGCAAAACAAACGCCAAAGCCAGGCAGCGGCTACCGACCTCTGGATTTCAGGATTTTTGGAGAATGCCCCAGCGTTTTGGCATTTTGTTGGCATTTCGTTGGCGTTTGTTTGGCATTATTTTGGCGTTTGGTTTGGCGTTTGTTTGGCGTTTCTGTGAACCTTGCCCGGATAGCCGTATCTTGAGATTTGGCATTTATTTGGCGTTTGATTTGGACTTGCCCCGGCCCCCTCCTGAGATTTGGCATTTGTTTGGCGTCTGGATTGGGGTTGCCCGTGCCCCCCTCCCTCCCTCCCTCCCTCCCTCCCTCCCTCCAGCCGGAAACAGCAGCACTCAAATCTCGCATGCCCTACAGAACTACACATCTGGCAACTGCTACTTGACAACATAGCCAAGACATAGCAGTAGCAACAACAATATGCACACACCAAACGTCGTATATAGATCTTATTTGCACTGGAAGCACACAAGCAACGGGCTGCAGGCAGTAGCAACCATGAAGTACAACTAGCAAACACCGACCTGCAAGCAAGACATACATAGTAATGCCAAAACACCAAAATCGGACGCCCTCAAGCACGAAACGCCACATTACACGACTTGCAGTGCTCCAAAAAGACATCAAATTCAAACACCCCAAAACACGAATGATAACACAACTCCAACAAGTGCCAAACCCAACAAAAGACTGAAATGAAAACACAACTCCAACACAACGCCAAACTCAAACACCAAACAAACGCGAATGAACACACAACTCCAAAAAATCGCCAAACTCAAACGCCAAAAAGCACGCCAATCAAAACACAACTCCAAAAACAACACCAAACTCAAACATCAAACGAACGCCAATCAAACGCCAAATTAAATGTTTGACTGCGGCACAGTCCCTGGCCGCAAAGTTCTTACAATTGTAGCTGTGGAGCTTCGCATCTGTGTCCTTTGGATGAAGCATTCAAGCATCGAACTCCTCAACATGGAAGAGCGTGCTCGCAGTAATGGGGCGAAACCATGAAGCCAAACGATCCGACTTCCCTCAAGGCGTACTATAAGCATAAGGGTGCTACAGCGGTCTAAGGGTCTAGGACTGAAAAGGGCTCGGTTTACGATACCCAAACTGCACCCAGCCAGTGCTATTGTACATCACGAATCGGGATCGGGTGCAGAAACAGCAGCAGGAACCATATCCCACCAGACCTCTTCCAGAGCTGCATGCACCCCGTGGCTCAGCATAAACTTGCTCGATCCAGAGCGCAACCACGGTGAGCTTGAAGAGAAGACATCTGCCAATGGCTCATCTGCATGCTTAAGGGCCAACTTTGCCATGGTCTTTACCATGGAGCTCAGCTTGCGGCCACAAAGGTCTTCTGCAAGGGAACGGTTCGTAATCATGCCCAGGACAAGAGCCTCCTCTCCAACGCAGAAGTGCCCGCATCTTCGAGCTTCTCTTTCGGAGTCCTGAAAAGCCACATGGAGCTCCCGGCTGACCAGCCAGTCACCGAGCTCGAAGCTCTCGTCTTGGGCTTCTGATTCCTCTGGGACGGTCACCAAAGGCAGATCTGGAAACGACTGCTGCGGCGCCGGAGCTTGCGGCAGGAAAGTGAAGAGGGAGGAGGAGGAGGAGGATGCCAAGCCACAACCTGCTCATCGTGTCCACTTGCAGTCTCTCATTATAGTGAAGTTGTAATTAGAATTATAGTAGTCTATAGGTGGAATCTAACTGTACAATACGTACAATTTCTTGAAAACCGGCTGTCTAATTACTGCTTGCCGTGCCTCGGCACTGGACAAGCCTGCGCTGGTAGGAGCACCTCTGTCTCCTGGCGAGCGGCCTGCGGCAACAGCAAAAACCCTATCTATTCACAATATTCTCTTAGTGTTAAAACCTCTCCCTTATTCGGGGGTCCGGCTGCCATAGCCCAAGGATGCTATCGCATGGTTGAACACGACAAGCTTAGGAAGGCAGGCCCCGTCACACCAGGCTGCAGCCCGTGAAGCCCATAGTTCCAGTCGGGAAACCCCAGCAATACAGAGACCTCGGCGATTTGAGTACGTTTCGGTATGAAGTATACCATGGTTATTATATGGGAACTTTTATAGAGGTCATTGCAAACTAACTACTCGACGATGGAGCCTCCAGCGACTTCCAGTAAGTGCTGCAAGTGCTGTGGCGGCAGAAGCAGCGCCGCCTCAATCCCAATGCAAGCTTGGCAGCAACTGTGGAACTAGAACTGCGTGCTTTCCGATCTGATCTGCGACACACGAAGTCCACAAGTTGGAGTAGACTAGACTCGGCTCTGCGACGTATCCTGCCATCAATTGCTCCGCTTGGCCCTGCACCTGCTTTGGTTGCCGGGGTCTGTCTCACTGTCCGAGCGTGGCAAGGCACCGCCTGCAAGCGCATCCGAAGCACGCTCACTCACCCCTCGAGCACGACCTGTCAGTCGAAGTCTGTGCTCGAAATCTACGAAAATTACCAAACCCGAAGCTTCAACTTGCATCTCCTTGTGCCATGTGTACTATCATTTTGCACGCTCCCCTCCTGTCTCGCCACTGGCACTTCCGATCGGCAACTGAACGTGCCCCAGCCAGCTTCTTGCCTGTTCCGGGCTTGGGTAATTGCGAGGTTCACAGAGCTGGGTTTGTGCCTCACTCTTCCCTAAGAGGATATCATTGTAAGGAGCCCACAGTAGCCCCTTTTTCGGGAAACCTCATAAAACTATAGATGCTGTGAAAAGAACCCCTGATAGGAGCCTGCAGTGCGAAATCTTTAGACACCTGTTCGAAACCCCCCGGTTTTCCCTGCTGAAAGATCGAGCATAAACTCCTCAGCCAGGCCGCATGTCTCGTGCCACCCCAAGATGCCCAGGCCGAACATCAAGCCATTCCACGAAGAAGTAGTAGTAGTAGTCGTCGTCGTAGTTGTAGTGGTGGAAGTAGTAGTAGTAGTAGTAGTAGTAGTAGTAGTAGTAGTAGTAGTAGTAGTAGTAGTAGTGGTACTGGTACTGGTACTGGTACTGGTACTGGTAGTGGTAGTGGTAGTGGTAGTGGTATATAGTGGTAGTAGTAGTAGTAGTAGTAGTAGTAGTAGTAGTAGTAGTAGTAGTAGTAGTAGTGGTGGTAGTGGTGGTAGTGGTAGTGGTAGTGGTAGTAGTGGTAGTGGTAGCAGTAGTGGCAGTGAAAGTGGTAGTGGCATAGGTAGTAGGTAGTAGGTAGTAGCCTAGCAGTAGCGGTAGCAGTAGGTAGTAGTGGGTACCAAAGTTTTACAGCACCGAATTCGGTGGGAGACGAAACACTCTTACGGACATTTCAGGATGTCGCTAAAGCTGTACTCGGAAGAACTGACACAGATGTTGCTAGGCTGCTAGGAGCTATGCAACGAGGGGCTTGGACTTCGGTTCCTACCATCCAAATGCCCCTGGAACGCAAAATGAATTGGCAAGGATCGGACTGCGGTTTAGAGCTGCTATGAGCTATTGCGAAGCAGGGTGGCTTGATCTGCGAGGACAGCTAGGGTTCTTGCTAGAAGGGCATGTTAGCCTTGGACAACCCGCCTTTGCCAATCCTTGCCGTGCCAACTTCGATTGAGCCAGCACTGCAGCAGAAAGACAAGCTGGAACTACATACTTTGGAGCCTTGCATGTCGGTGCTCGTCGTTCAGCGGGGTAGGGTGGAGAGATTGAGTCAAGGAGTGAGAGACGAACCCAAGACTGATGACAACGCGTGCACACAAACAGAGTAGAAGGACTGAGGCGGCAGAAAGGACCGGAATGAGCCAGCTTGTGGCCGGTGGGGGGATGAGAGCAGATATTCGTCGAGAGACAGGAAGGCTCAGACGAAGCCTCGGCTCAAGAAGCAGGGAGTGGTTTGATGGGCAAGACCGTGCAACTAAAACACTCATACATGTAAACAGGAATGAAAACATCATTTATGCTGTTGTTGAGCGTGGTTCTCGCTCCACTTCTCTTCGTTGCCAAGTCTCGACAAAGCTTGACAGGGCAAGCAAACAAGAACTTGCCCGCTTCTTTAACGTTTTCTCGTTTACTCGCAGAGAGGTTTGCTTCGGGACTTTTGCCCGGCGTTCTCCAAGAACCTCAGTGCATCACTCGGCCAGAAGAGTAGCGTCTTCGATTTCCATGCCCAGGAAGGATTTCAGCAAAGCCAGCGACCTGGCGCAAAGCTGCCTACTTCGTAGTTTGACTCGTGGCCCTGATCCAATACTCCTGTCCCCGAATACTCCGAAACCCAGACTTGTTGCCAGATCTTCATATATTATAGTACCCTAAATAGTAAGATGCTTATTATAAGGACCCCAGAATAAGGTACCCCTAATTTTTGGAAACTCCCTGATTATATTGAATGGACAACAGCTTTAATAAACTTTTGAAGGATCCACGGCCCGACTGGCAGGTCGAGGTGCCTTGCGGGCTGTGTGGCAGGCACCATGTGTCCAGCCTTGGGCAGTCATGTCAAGTTCGCGGGCGACCTCTTTGGATGCTCTTACACTACAACATGCCATAATATAATATCATATAACAAAGCTATATAATTACGGGGTGTTTTATACAGTACAGTAGTGTGCCTGGACCCAGAACAGCATACAGCATTGGACTCCAAATCGAACCGCAGCTGCCTCCGTGTTTAGCTCCGAATACAGACATCGTGAGGGTTGTGGTTTACTGCTTGTGGGTTTGGGGGGATTTCGTGGCCTACAATATGTACACGAAATTTGAAAATGCGATGTCTCTGTCGTACCATATACTACAGTGCCCAGTACTGCTCTTAACAATCTGTCCAAACGCCTTGTGGCACGGCTGGCTATAGACATCCATAACGAGCCATACTGATTTTGTGCAAGAACCACTAAGAGAAAGGTGTAGCAATGGCCAAACTGCGGTGTCATTGGCGACAATAAGTGCAAAGGAGCTAGAATCAGGAAGCGCATTGCAGCACACGAAGTCAGACTCACCATCCCAGAGTTCAAAACTTGACTGAGAACAGTCCCCGAATTACCCACCCTATGCCCGCAGCTTGTGTGCGAGCCCTGGGTCCAAACCATTCCAAACCAAAATCTTCAGAGCAAGGTCATGGAACCATTCAGATGCCAAGACCGGCCCAATCTAAGATAGCATAGCCTACTTGGGTACTGGGCTACTTTGAACAGCAAAAGCCGCTGATCAAAAGCACTTGCCTAGCACCCTCGGACCGCTAGTCAACCAATTGCACAGCACATCTTGATGTGCAAAATGTCTGGAACTGCACTCCAACAACTTGCAATGGTGTGGGACAACTAGCCGGTAACATAGTTAATCGCATAGTCTCACCAAAGCAATCGCCTGCATCCGTCTAGGACCCTAGAACAAGGCCATGCAGATTGAACCAGACGATAAGTTGTGCAGCTCGACCTGTCCAAATCCTGCTAGCGAAAATGCGCGACCCAGTCGTCGCTGGCCCCAAAGGTGAGTTGGAACAACTCTTGGCCGTTCCTCCGTTCGCTCATGACACACTCGTGACACCCCAAGGGTATGTCATGGTACTTCCAACCCCCACCTGGGAACCTAGCAAACCAACCACCAGCTGGCGAGATTGCGACATATTCGGCCTCTGTCTTGCTTCTCTCCAGACAGTTTTGCAGGCAAGCCGGCAATCGCAGCCATTTGGTCGAACCATCCGTGCGTCTCAGCCAGTACCCGCGGTCGGGAGAGAAGGCAACTGCCTCTACTGGCGGTCCCTCTCTGATGGCCCTGCTGAAGGATTCCGATTTCGAGCCGCTCCAGGCCTGAGCCCCGTCGTCAAACAAGACATAGTAGCGCCCGCCGCAACCACAGGCAACGAAAAGGGGACAACTTTTGCTTTGGTCTGTCCGCGCCTCCATGGCATCGCAAACAGCAATAGGCATGTTCCGACTCTTCCCCGAACCGTCCTGCCTGAGTATAAGATAGCCACTTTCGTCCATATTCAATGCAAGGAAGTCCGACTCACCAGAAGAATCCAGAAGAGACTGCTGAAGACGTTGATCGGACAGGCTCGCACAGAAGGAGTAGCCGAGTAGCCTTCAGCAGTGGATGTGCCGGAGCTTGAATAATCGTCCGACTGTGGTAATGGTCCCAAGAACCCACGCACACGAATCGAGATCCCAATGTTCTTGGTCGTGAGCCGGTGGCGGGGGATTTCCTCATGCGTTACTTGGACATCAATCGTATGAAGTTTGCCAAGCTCCTCTAGGTTTTGGAACACCCAGAGCCGCCGGTTGCCTGTGTAAGCAAACCACAGGCCACAAATTCGTACAACAGTCATCTGAGGAATGTCGGTCACCCGAATGCGCCCATACCACAGCTCATCTAGAGTGTCGTCGAGCCGTCTGCCACAGCTAAACTTGTGACTGACGGAATCGTGCGCGAATCTTATATTCAGTGGACGGATTCGCATCGCACGGCAAGCAAGGCTTTGAGCTACTATCTTCGGCAGCTCGCCAAAGCAGACTAAGTTTGAGCACGGCCGGAGTGTTTCAATGCATACAGCTTGCTGACCACGCCAAACCTGGATGTACCTAACTCCGCCAAACGAAGTGTTACATGCTGATCCCATGCTGAATCAGGAGAGAGTTGCGCCGTGGACCGTGACGAAGGAGAAGGACGCCGAAGCCCCTGCTTTTGATGGGACGGCAAACTCTGTGCGGAATCCAGCCGTCTGGTGCTGAACCTTCGGGAGTGCATGTCTGAGTCTCGATGTGTGTTCATATATTGCAGCTTTGTAGAATGTGCTTACATGCCGACAATGCACATAATCAGATATAGAAACGCCGACATATGCAAACACACCTGCGCACACGTACTTACGCACTCCGAACACAGCCGCACTCCCTACGACTAAGAATCCCAAACCCCGAACCCTCAGGCTTCATGTTCGCGGAAGCTAGCGGAGGATGCCTTTTTCCAAGAAACCCCAGTCCAGAGGCTGTGCGAGAAGACATCCGCAATTCGGCGAGGAAGACCGTTTACTTGAAGGAGCAAGGGACTTAGTAACTGGGGTTATTATAATTAGGGTAACTATACTTGCAACCCCAATTAAGGTACATATAACCTTACTTTCCAAGTCCCATGATCCTCCAAGTACGACTAATTACCCGAGTTTTTCAGCACAGCGGCTGTCCACGGAACCCAGGATTTTCCTTCCATGGGCGCATAGCCTTGGTGCCGCGATGAATCACGTCTCGACTGTGCCTCTAGGCTAGTTTTGGCTTCTCTACCACAAGAATTCCAGAAGGTACTCTTGCGTCTGGTGGGACCGTGTGCAACTTGCACAACCCTATGGCCCTACTGTATGGATCTTCTAACAACCCTGTGATACTGCAGCAGGCCAAGCAACCCAAGTCCCAAACAAACTGCTGGGATCCCAGGGTAGCGCAAACGGCATCGTCGTCTCCAGAATAGATCATGAGATTGAGCGTGCCCTTCCTGGGTTAGCGATGGCCGTTTGTGCTTTGTTGGGGGCCGTTCCTGTATTCGACAATGCCTCTTGGCTCTTGCGGGCCTAGCAACTCACATCTCTGATGATTCTTGCTCCTACGTTCTGTATCAGTAGGTGTATCATTCAGATTGAGGTCACAAATAATGAGCTGCATGTGACTTCAATGCGACTATTGCTCTCACTCTCATGCATGCTACTGGTATTCAACACTCTTCCTTAGTCGTCACTATTCTTGTTGAGTCTGCATCCTTCATCATGTATGACTCGGGCCTTCTGGGCATGACTACCAGATCTGCTTCTTTCTTCTGCGTAATTACTCTTGCTTTGCGTGGTGGTTTGGCAGGGAAAAACAGCAGCCGGCTAACTTTGCAAGCCAAATGGAAGTGTTGAAATCCTTCAACGGTCCATGTGGCGCATGTTGAAACTATGGGCAGCACGAGTCACTAGCCATTTCAATTGATGTAGTTGGGGTACAAAGGATTACAAAGGGCTGTTGTTGTTGCTGTTGTGGAGGGGAGGTTCTGTGCAACCGATGTGTCTACAGCTTTGAGCTCTGCCGCCAGGCAAGGGCAATACAACAGTCTCAATTCAAAGCCAGAACAGCAATCTGCTTAACCCAAGTGTCTGGATCAGATGTTGCCAGTACGGCATCATTGGCTCATTGAGATCTGTCGAATTGTAGTGACGTCCCACTACTCGCGAGCAGTCTCCCCATTCGGTGTGCTGGGCGTGAATGGCCGTCTGCACTTCGGGCAAGTTCCTAGTTCATGGTCGGGATAATAGGAAAAATCTACATTTTGCTCCCTATTGGATTTAAGTACCCATAAATATGCAAAATGTTACCCAACTATGACAAAGATTCAAGTATTTCTCCCCGAGGTCGCTCGCACATGGCCTGAAAGTCAAAGAAGGCACTGGGCTGCTCAGAACTGAAAGTTCATGTAGATGTTATCGTAGACGCAAGCAGTAACATCAACTCAAAAGGTACTGACAAACCGGGGAGGCTGCACAGAATTGCAGTACTCGTGCACCAACCCTACTTCCAGGCCCTTGTACAGCAGCAAAGCACCGTGTGTCCAAACCCCCCAAGCCCTAAAAGCCCAGAATCATCAACCCTACAGCCTTGCACCCTGCCATCTTTAGCTCGGCCATGGCACTGGTAAGGAGGTGGGAGGTCACCTTTGGCCTGATTTACCTTGCCCATCAACTGGAGACGCTCCTGCTGGCCCGCAGCTGTTCCATGGTCGCCTGGTGCAGCTAACTTGCCGTGAACCCTCTCTTGCGCAGTGGCAGAATGAACCCACTGAAAACGGAGGAGGTCTTCAAGTCTATGGGTTGTACAAAACCAAAGCCGAACGGCATCGGCATTCCGAACCGGGCTTAAAAGCTTCTACGACTTCTTTCCCGGTCACATGTTGGGAAACCCAAGGCATACACATCGAAGCCGGACAGGATAGTGTCCATCTCGGCTGTGACCTTCTGGCATGCCTCTGAAGCCGGGAATGTTGTTGCACACTTCGCTGCGTCATACCTCGGCCGTACATCTAATATAGGGGCCTTCATAAGTAAAATAGGGTTTTGGGGCCCATGATACTACATTTTTTAATAGGAACCTCCGAAATAGTATTGGTAATCATCTAGGCCCCCCCATGGTGCGGCATATTGTGGACAGGAGGTAAGAAACAAGCTGGCATCATCCGAGATGCTGCATCCACAAAGGAGCCGGCAGCAGCTGATGGCCCCATGCAGTTCCGTACTGACCGTAGTCTCTGTACATCATGTATGTCAGCGGATTGCCCAAGAAAATTCCACGAAAGGATGGAACATCATCTCGCAGGGGCATGACGGGCAGCGGGACTACTTGGCAAGCAGGGTACAAGCGCCAAAGCAATCCTGTCTTACGTGTCTGGGTTTAGAGTTGCGTCTAGCAGTCTAGCGGGACCCGTTTGTATCCATTCACTGTGCGCAACACCCTGCGCACCTCTGTCAGCAAGAAGCTTGCCCAGGGTCGGCATGTAATGTCCGCCATAGGACTCTGAGGAAATGTAGAAGTCGTTTCCCTTGTATTCTGGGTAGCGCTTGAAGAAGCCAAGAACAAATTTGAAGTTGTCTTCTGCTGCCTGATGGTCACCATATTGAATCTCCTTGTCTGTTTTTGAGAAGCCGACGCCAACCGGCTGCTCAATGAAAACCATGTTGACGATCTTGTTCCATGCAAGATGGTTCACCGACAGGGTTTTCCCATCTGCTTTGACTCGGAACGGACCCTGCTCGGTCAGGAAGCCAGCCAGCCCACTGCAACCAGGACCACCGTTCGTCCAAAGAATCACGGGCGCATTGGCAGCATCTCGTTGGGACTCCACAAACCAATAGAACATCTGACCTGTGCAGGTCCACAGGTCTGTTCACGAGGATGGGGTGGCTCCTTGGCTTGCCTCCCCGCTGCTATACCGTTCCCCTGAGGCAAGTTCTTGCATGGCTTTTGCAGAACTGATGAGGCAACGGATGCTTCAAAAGCGTTTTTAAGTCGGTTCTTCCTCTTCCTCATAGTCATAATCATCGTCATCACTATCACCATCAATGCCGACATAGCCGACATACTCGACATTCACAGGAAGCAAAAACTGGCGGCATCATCGTCAAAATTTGCATAGGGACACTGCGTTGTTGTATTAGTCAAACACGGGCGGCTGGCGACCACCTTTCGCTGACAAGATATCTGCGTGACTTCGAGCCAACCCCTAAACCCATCTAAACCTACATAAGCCCTCATCCCCCGCAGCTATCTTCGAGCCCTAAACCCCCAGACCCCTTTCTACCCTGCGCCCCAGCCTTCGCCGACGTCAATGTATCCCGAGAACATGCGAAACTCCACACTCGGTGCGCCAGGGAGCTCGGTGATCTCATCCTGAACCGATGAGAAACTCATGTTTCATATGTCATAACATACACAGATATGTGTATATACATGTATATGTATGCATACATATACACATAGACAGATCGATACGTACATACGTACATACATACATGGTTACATACATACCAACATGTGTGTACAGTGGTTCTTTATCTATCCATGCATCAATGTATCCATAGCCACCCATCCATATCTCACCCGCCTGCCTGCCTGCATACATGCACGGACCTTTGAGTGCATGTGCTGAAAAATCTATACAGATATCGTACAGTACCTTAGGGCATCTATTCTGCATGACATGGTCTGGTTCTTGATCCAAAACCTGCTCGGTTCTAGTACCTTCTTGCAGGTCCTCCTTATGTTGAGGATCATATCCTTTGGGCTTTTTTAAAGGCCCCATAAATTTTGCTGACACTCCCAACTTGTTACACTCTCGCATCTCGGAAAATCCAGGCAAGGTCTATCGGACATGGTCGGAATGAAACAAGCGTGACTCATCGCTACCGGGGTTTTTTCTTGCAAGGTATAGTTCAGCACCAAGTGTGCAAGGGTACAGCTAGTGCCGTCCTGGCTTGGGGTTCCTAAGCAGTCAAGCTTACACGGTTAGATTATACAGGTTGACGTAAGAAAGAAGCGGTGAAGAATAGCGTAGTACAATAGTATAGCCCAGCTAACACAGTGCAGTAAAACACATTATAACACCTAAACCCTAAACCCCGAACCCTAAACCCCTAAATAAGCCCTGAGGTCCTTCAAGGCTTCGGGACCATAGGCAGCCACTTCCGCAGCCGCAAGGAAGAAGGCAGCAACGACAGCTTTCATTCTGAGCTTCCGGTCCGTGGAAGGCCAAACACTTCGAGAGACCTTCGAGCCGATTCCAGGTGCCGAAGGGTGCACACATCGATGTTTTTCGTCACTAACATTGGATTCATAAATATTGGTGTATATTATACTATAGTTATAATCAGGAAGCACCAAAATAGTATAGGTAATTCTGAAGGCCCCTATAGCAGATCCCGCTGGTCTTCTGACTATCGTTGAGAGTGTCGCATGCCAGCTTTAAATGCCTTGTTTCTGCACTTGTTCTTACACGTAGTATGTACACCTAGAGCCTGCTTTAAAATTACAATCAAAGGGTAAAAGGAGGGACCCTTAATGGGGACCCCTACCCTATAATGGGCTATATATTAGGTCTATAACTATATTAAGGGTATATACCTAGGGGTCCTTATTAAGGGTCCCTCCCCTTCCCCTTTGATACAAGGTAACAAGGAAAATGATTTCACTTGCTTTGACAACCTGAACCTTTCTAGCACCAGGCCTCGTACCTCGCATGGAGTGGGCTCCGACCATAAGCCCTCGAAGCCCGTGACCCCCTCCAAGATCCTCATGCCATCTTACAAACGTTCTGCAAGTCTCTTAAGTCGGACTTATCAGTGTGAGTTACAAGAATGAACCCTTGTATTGAACCCCAACTAGTAACTAGTCGGATGGCCCCTAAATAAAGCATCCTGACTTTCAGGCTTTTTCTCCCCTTAACCCCGTGCCACGTGTAAGTGCTACACCCTGTCTCGCCTCATAGTGCAACCCTGTATGAATCCAGCCGGTGTGCACAAGGCTAGCGGCTAGCATGTCATGGTTGCAACAGCTCTTTCCCGGTTTTCATGGGGGCGATCGGAAGTCGAGTGGCCCCGGATGAGGCCAAATATGTACAAGTGGGCGCCGCTGCCCCCAGGCTCACGCCACTAGTCCGCGGAACCTGACTGTCAGGTTCAGCTTCTCGACAATAAGCCTAGAGTCAGCGTATCATGATGCCACACTGCGACACTAACCCCGTGTTTAAAAGACTCCTCCGGCCCGGCATCGTATTCGGGTGAGAAGGCAAGGTCAAGGCAAGGCTGCTGACAACAGCCACTTGGCCCCGTGCCAAGGCTGGGGACTTCCGACTGCGCGTCGTCCACGGACCCTTGGTGTTCTTGATACTGACAGAAAGGCCAGGAAGGGATCATCCAGTCCACAACACATCAGACTACGATAGACGCGAAGTACAACCAGGGGCAGGAACCCTGGCTTCGGATTTTCGGCACTCGGACTCTCTAGGCGAGGCATGTTAGCTTGACTTTTACATCCGTTCAAAAGCGGCGATGTGCAAGGCTCCTGTTCATACTTCTTCCTTTCAGTGGATAATGGACTGACGTGGGCTACTAAGTCTTGCTAGAACCAGCACCTAGACCTCAACATAAGGATCCCGGCTTTGGGATATCTGGGTATAGCTATGGCCGGATTCCAGAAACCCTTTCTGTCATCTGTTGGACCCCTCGTTAAAGCCGGAGTCTCCAAGGCAGAAAGACGAGCAGTCTACTATGCATTGCCTTCACATCTTCGTAGAAAGGTAAGAAACAACATGCTGTGCATGTTATTCACCGTAAAATTTTACTTGTAGTTATACTAAGGAATCCCTCAGAATACCGTTGTTAATTATTAGGCCCCCATATGATATTATACTATAGTTATAATATGGAACCCCTGCGAATAACATTGTCAATTATTTAAGCCCCAGATTTGCTTAGCCAGGTTCCTACACTAGACCGTAAACCCTAAACCCTTTATAGAACCCTTATAGATCCCTTTAAGGAACCCTCTCATGGATCCCTCTAAAGGTACCCGTAATTCTCGGAAAGCTCCCATAGTAGAGCAGCCGCTGCGGCCCTGGCTGGATGATGGACTCGGCGACCTGCTGGGAGATCGCTCGGAGCTCCGCGAGCTGAGAGTTGCGGAGTCTCTTGGGGACTCCTTCTTGCGCTGGTGCCTTAGGTTTGCAGGGATTAACGCAAGGTGCATGAATCCTTGAATGGTTGGGGCCCAGTATACCATAGTTATGATCAGGAACCCGCAAAGTGGTGAGAGGAATAAGGCCCCTTTAGTAATGTTCTCAATACGGACGTGGAGCCGCGCATACAAGATTACCAAGGCCGGCGCCCGGTAGATCGTTTCGAAGGCCTCTGAGACTTGGATGAAGTAGCCCACCCGCAGACCTGGTTCATGGTTGGGATAGTAACGTATTACAAATGATAACTTCTAGTCTTTCTTGGGTTTAAGTACCCATAAAGAGGTAAAAGGTTACCCCACTATGACAGAGGTTCACGTGTTTCTCCCTTAAGTACCCATAAAAGGGACAAATGTCTAGGCAAGGGAGGAGGCGAGTCTTAGGCTAAGAAAGTTCCTTATTACAGCTTGGCTTAGGGACAAAAGGGAAAAATGGTGCCCAACGATGAGAAAGTGGCGCTGTGCTCGTCCCGCTCCTCGGGTGCTGGGCTCAACTCTCGGCTGGAGCCGGGCTCGGAGTCGGAGGCTCTGCTTGGAGATCGGCTGCGTGATTGCGGAGCTCCCTCGGAGGGCGGAGGAGACCTGCTTGGGCTCCGATGTTGGCTCAAGACATCTGCCTGATCTCCCGCATCTGAGCCCACATGGGTTGGTCCTTCGCTGGAGTCAACGCATGGGGTGTGATGCGTGGGGCGTCCGGGCGGCTCGGTGGCTTCGTCTGGCTCCGGCTCAGCTGGCGGGTCAGCTTCCGAACGGGATGGGCTGGCGGAGTCATGTGTGCGATCGGGGTTTGGTGACGAGGACCCATCAGCGACCTGCAAGACTGCAAGCCTACAGAGCCAATGCAGTGCTGACCGGGACAAGGGGCACGGAATACGACTGACATGATGTCGGTGTATCTGCAAATGCTGTGTGGAGCAGGGCCTCGCGGAAGGATGCCGCAGGGTCCTCGCACCATCACAGATTCATGGGATCATATAGTAAGTAGTATGTCGTAGGTAGGCATGGCTGATGCATGCTGACTCGGCATAAGAGTGCACCCTTGCACCCTCGAAATTGCTGAACAGCCACAACAACAACAAGCCTGCCACATCAACCTATGCTTCAGTTTCCCTCACCGCATAATCACAGAGGACGCGAAGCAGCGGAAGCAAAGATGAACTGCCGCAAAGCATCGGCGCCGATGTTCGGCGCACGATATGTCCGTCTGACACCGGGAGGCGGAGGTTGCAGCAGCTTCTCGCGGCCTCAGAGATGCGACGCAACAGTCTCAAACACAGACTTTCCAGAATTCAGAATGCGATAAGACACGCATGACATGGCTTTGCGTCTGTTAGATTCTTCGAACATGGGCAGGGTGGAGTGGAGGTGAAGGGCTGGGTGACAACTCCGGCCATTTCAGACATAGAAGTGTCTCAAGCGACAGCATCATTCCACTGCACTCGAAACTTATGACCTTTCCTGCATGCCCATTCGCAAACATAGCTTCTCATTTTTACCGAGAAGTTCAGAAAGCAAGGCACCCGATAACGACCCCAAATTGGACACCGCAGGCAAGAACTCCTACACTTGTAAGCAACCCCTTAACCTCAAAAGCCTCAAGAAAGGGACCTCGACTCGGGAGTTTCCGAACATAAGGGACCCTAATATAGTGCCCTAAATAGTAGGATCCTTGTAATAGGGATTATTAGGGACCCCAAAATAAGGTACCCCTAGTTTTCGGAAACTCCTTTACTTTAAGAACCAAACATAACCAAACCCAGCCCTCCCCCCCATGCTTCTGCTGCGGCCCCTGCGTTCGGTGGCCAGGCTGGCCTGCGACCGGCCAAGACTTGGGGTTCAGGGTCTGCGCTTTGCGCAGAGCTTTTTGCAGGATAAGTGTTTTTTTACCACATTTTTACGTGGTTCGAGTGGGTTTATGGTCGGGGCCAATGATACACGCACAGATCATACCTCCGATTCTGCTTTCTCAAACCGAGTCGCTGCTCTGGATTCTATCGTGTGAACTTCGATCGTGCATCATGAGTCCGGCGAGGGCTTCTCAAAATCCAAACACCGCGGCGGGGTCTGTCAACTCAGCCCATGATGGCGCATCTTGTAACGTGACTAGCACATTAAAGCCGCAAGGATTGCTTACCACGGTGCAGAACCATTCGGGAAGACTTGCAAAATGATCTGCAATATCCGCTCCCAACACCAAACCAGTCCCTCGGCCTTCTTCTTGTCACGACTCCGCTTTGCCTGGCCGTGGCCAGCATGCGTGCTTGAAACACGGGGAAGGAATGCTTCTGTGAACTGTGGCCTTTGCAGTCTTTCGTCCCTGCCATCCACGAACTTGGCACTGAATTCCTCAAGCAGACTCGATCAATCCTGCTGCCCTAAAGTGGTATACCACACTTGATGTCATGATTGAGAGCCAGGCGCTGCACCGCCTCCAACCTGACGAGTTGGAGCTCTCCGTCTTCACGCTCTGTGTACACTGGATGAACGTCATGCTCCTGACACCGTCTTCCATCTACCTGCCCTTCTGCGCACCCGAAACCCGAATACTCTGAGGCTCCTCTAAGCAACACGGCTCTCGAGCCTGTTTTGTTCCGCGGCCAGCTCCTGTCGCCTCTCGCTGACTCGCTGCACTTCGCTGTCGCATGGTGCTGGCTATGATGTGCACCCTGCAAATCTGGGACATTGAGGTTCCTTATCCTGGGGTCGTACCAAGCACCTCCTGTCAGCCTTGAGTTTTGGTTTTCTCATGACCCGCACGCTGGATCTCGTCTTTCTTGACGGCTCGAGGAAAAGCGATAAGGGCTTGGCAGCTCGGCTTCAAGCTCAACTCGAAAGGCTGCACAAGCTCACTTTCTAAACGCTGGGAGCCACCTCCAGGAGGTGCACATATATGAGAAGAGCGGAATACTACTAATGGCTTGCAATGCAGAGATAACTCATGCCTTTGTGTCTGTCACAAAGCTCCCAATCACGTGCAAGAGTTGTAAACGATTTTACAAAACTAGCTGTCAAGGCCAGCTGACATCGAGAACAAAACAGGATTTGCTAGCTGTCCAGGTCAGCCGCTGGTGGAATGGCCGCTCAGAAATGGTGCGAGTAGATCATCTGCTCGTACGTCGGGTATGGATACAGACCTCGTGACAGAGACGCCTAACTCCCGACTGTTCCTGAAAACTGTGGGCCAACACCAAAACTCCAAAATCATGAGCTCAACTCCCACGAAGCCCAAACCGCGCACATGTCACAGTATGACATAACTTGTTTGCATCCTCCAGAGTTTTTACAGCCAAGAAGCTGCTCTCCATCATGGTTTCCGCCTTGTCGACGGCCTGGAAACATTGACTCCCAGGCTGAGGCTTCTAGACACAGCCATCATCAATGAGGAGCCAAGGGCGAGGTCATTCCTCTCATAGGACACCCGAAATTCTCGCAGAAAATCCGAGCAAGATTCAAGCAGACTCAGAAGAAGAGGCAATTTCATTACAGTCCGTCTCCGGGACGGCAACGGATGCAAGGGCAAACATTGCTCAGTAGTACTCAATACGAATACAGTCAAGTAAAAGTTTAGCAGCCTCCGTACAAGATGCAGGGGCAGGTACAAGTTCAGGTCAGTTTGCATGTGCCACCCCGGTGCAGTTACATGGTGCTGACATCTCTGTGAAAGCCCAGAGACAGAATGCGACATCTGAGCCTAAGAATCCGAAAGAAGGACATCCGACACGGCCCCAGCAAAAACTCCAACTCCCGGCTGCAAGTCCATGCGGCACCCCCGAGACGCCACACTCCGCTTACAACACCTTTCATCCTTAATGACTTATGCAACCTCGGGGACCCTAATATAGTGCCCTAGGTAGCAGGATCCTTATAACGACCCCAAGTAAGGGACCCCTAATTTTCGGAAACCCTAAACCCTTTATAAAACCTTTATTTATAGATCCCTTTAAAGGTAGCCCTAAGTTTCGGAAACTCCCCAAACCGGCCTCTCGGAGCGCCGCCATCTTCACCTTCACGTTGTCGCAAAGGTAAGTCGCTTCCTTCTCGAGGTCTCCGTGGGGCATGGCGTCCAGAGACGCCTTGAGCTTTTCGAGCCTGAAAGGAGGGCGGGCAGGGGTCAGGAAAGCTCAATAATGTACAGTTATGCGTAGGTTTATCGTTGTAGTTATATATTTACATATGCACATATACATATATATGTATGTATGTGTATATATATATATATATATATATATATATATATACATAATATACTTATATAGGTATAACATTCCTGCCGGCTTGGCTGACAAGGTCGCGCTGCAGCGAACAAAGCTTGTGATTTGGGTCTGAAGGTTTTTTTCTGCGACAGTTTGCCTCTTGCCGTTGGTGTTTTAGGGGTTTTGGACGGGTCGATGTTGTTGAAGACATCAATCACTTTCGCTTGCTCAGCAGGGAGGATTACCAGTAGACTGCAAAGCTTGCAGGCAAGCGGCTCATCCACAATTGCTTCATAAGCAACCTTTCTTGGCTCGGCGATTTTGCTGCTCATGTTGTCGCACTTCTTCAGGTCTTTGGCGCACGCGGGTATGAAGCCGGTCTCCACCATGTTGATCATGGTCTGCGCCTCGAGTGGCGTCGTCTTACTGGAACATTGGTGCCCTGGGATAACAACATCGACCCTCCTAATCCCTCCTACCGTACATGGTCAGTAGTAATCGTTCTTTTCAAGTGCATTGTCAACGTTTGCGATGACCATTCAACCTCTGGTTTTACAGCTAACCCTGGTTAACCCCATTTCGACACGTATGCCTCGCGCTGTTTGTATATAGTTCTTGCGTGACAATGCGACCATGTCGTTGTGTTGTTGAGTTGCTGATCTCCTTTGCACACGGCACTTAGTCATACACAGCTCAACAAAGAGTCTGTCTAACGTCTTGCAATGCATGATTTACACAGTTCGATAGTAACGGCAACCTACCAGGATGTGCAATACTGTGTTCTTGCACTCTGATCATGGGCCATTAAATTACTCTTGCCTCAATGCCTGTTCTAGCTCGGTCACGACACTTGAGACGACGAGCCATACGATTCTATAAAATAGAAGACCCCAGATAGCAGGATCCTTAATCTATGGACCTCAAGTATGGGAAACTCGCATATGCTGGACAAAGGATGTTCAGGATTGTTCAGGATGGGGAGGGGGCCACTGCACTCTGTCCATTTCCACAGCCACCTGGTGTTGGGGTCTTGTCAGTGCTCTGAACCAATCATCTGTGGCGCCCCCCCGTCCCCCGTGTTGAAGTAGTGTTCTTTTATGAGCTCGTAAACGCTGTTTTGACCTGGTTCTTTACTACTGAGGTGAATTTATAAAGGGGAACCGCACAAGCTCCACAGAGCTAGCATTCGTGACTTTGTACAGTAATTCCCATGAGCCCTTGCCATTTTCCTTGGGTGCGACAATCCTTTACCGTGCTACTAAAACCACTTTCTTATCTAGCCATCGCCAGGGTTTGGGATGGCGTAAGTTAGTAGATTGCTCTGGCAGTACGACCGAGAGCCATCATTTACTGTGTGGATTTCAGCAGTCCCCTAACCTATTCATAATTAAGGCTCTATATTAAACATTCAAGGAAATACAGGGAAATTCGACATTATCTCAAATCGATACCTAGTTTGTGGAAGACGACGACAGCGCTACGATATGTCGTCTTACACATCTTGTTGGACAGCTAGGGGATGAAAACGTAAATGGTAAGCCCAGCTCTGTACTGCAACACCGGTGGTTTACCATACTACAGAGAGTCTCGCGTAGCACATCATGATGACATGATGTACATCAATGGATCTTTTGTACACCTGCGCCATACTATTGCATTGTGATCGTTGTGGTCAGCCTCGATCGTGAGACACGTGATGTAGTTCTCCAGCATGACCTTGCGCCAAGAGTTCGTGCGCGCACGCAAACACACAAACACACAAACACACACAACACACAACACACAACACGCAACACACACACACACACACAACACACAACACACAACACAACACACAACACACACCACACACAACACACAACACACCCCCCCCCCCCACACACACACACACACACAATCACCGCTGGCCTCATGTTACTGTCTGCCCAGTTCGTGCCCTTGCATTTGTGGAATCAAAGCTAGTCCTTTCGTCCTATGTGCAGGAAGGAACCATCGCACCTTGCTACCTCAGCATCATATCCACCACCACGATCCGAAACGGTTGCCCCAGCATCAACGATGCCTGAGTAAAGGCGTGCCTCTTGTCTAGCCTCGGTCTCTTCCTTGGTGTAGATCTTCAAGTCGTCAAACCTTTGGCTGTGCTCAGCTGGGAGCTTGCAATGATGCTATAAGGATTCTTGGGGGGGTATGGCGATTTCGTGGTTTCTGGCTGAAGTTGGTGTGAGGCATGCATTGCCGGAGCTTCGACACCTAGCTGAGTAGGCCTTCTACAAGACATGTGTACAAAAAATGATGAGGTAGCGTAGGAACCTGATTCAGAAACCTTGGGCCTTTATTAGGGTTCCTTCATATGAAACCTACCATTTTGGTGTTGTAGTACCAGGGTCTCCTAACCAATTTCCTACATTAGCCTGAATGCTAGACCCAGCCCTGAACCCTGAACCCTAAGCCCCTGATAACCAACCCGTGGAAGTTCTTCCGAAACTCTCGGAACCCTTTCAGCCCCCGTAAATCCGCATGTTCCCTTTTGTGCCCAATGCCAGGGGGGGCCCTCAAGTTCGAAGGAACCGCCAATTTTGCAAACCTTTGGGGCCTGGCTTACAGTTCAAGGGGTACGCAGTGTTTCTAGCTAGGGATTCTGTGTTATCAGTCATGCAACTCCATGTGGGAGTTTCCAAAATAGGGGACCCTGATATAGTACCCTAAAGAGTAGGATCCTCATTATAAGGACCCCAATAAAGGTAGCCCAATTTTCGGAATTCCTAAACCCAAAACCCGTTAGAGAACCCTTCTAGATTCCTTTAAGGAGCCCGTATAGATCCCTTTCAAGGAGCCCCTAATTTTCGGAAACTCCCATGTCCAAAGGAAGCAAAGTAAGCAGGGTCTCCTGGCCTTTGAAGCGAAGCACAAGACGAATATGGGTGGTTATCAAAATTAGGGTCCCTTTTGCTTGGGTCCTTCATATAATACGGCGCCTAACATTTAGGATACCCCAAAAGGGGGACCATACTTGTGACACCCATAAGAGGCCTCGGGGGCCGTAGTAATGAGACTAGAGCTCCTTGAAACGGGGTCTATATAAGGGATCTATAGTAGGGTCCTATAATACACGGGCCTTAAAAATTAGAATAGGGTTTTGGGGCCCATTAATAACAAAAAAGAACCCCCCAAAATAGTATATAGATGTAACTTTAGCTATTAAGACCCCTATTTTATGGCTCTGCGTTACAGTTTGTCTCTGCTTCCGCTGTATGCGTTTCTGCAGGCCAGGTACAGCTTCTTGTTCTTCGCAGAGCTCCAAGTCACGACGGCCTTCATGCTTGGACAAGCCGCGCCCCCCACAGTCCCAGAGGATTTCGGATCATTACTGGGCAGTGCAAGCTCACGGCTGGTCAATTGCAACTGCGACTACGCACTGCCGTCACGCCGACGACGTCTATTTCAGGTTTCGCAACTATGGGTTTACGCTCTCGCAACTCGGACTCGGCCAGACGAGGTCTTGTTGTTCAGAATCGCTACTATGGCTATGGGTTCAAATCCTACAACTATCGCTCTTAGCTTTTGTGACTTTGTCAGTAGACCGTTTGTCGGACTGGTCTCCTCACACAGTTGCTACCACGACTTTAATAGAGACGTCGGTCCTACTGGTGCCACGCTTGTCCTTGCGCTGACTTGCTCTTGTTTTTTATACGTCAGTCAGTCAGTCATACGCCGGGCGGCGCGTGGACCACGCGCCGCCCGGCGTATGACTGACTGACTTTTTTTATACGTCACGGAAGCCTTTTTTATGTGTCACAACTTCAATCAGCTCTGCTAAGACTGACTGGGGCCCAGGGTCATCACGGCATCCCACTGATTTCGTTAATTTCCTTGCCATTGGCAGGCTCTCTACGATAATGCTTTTCGCTTCTTGGCGCCTGAAATTGAACGTCAACAACCTGGTGGCCGGGCCTTCGGCGTGGTGTTCAAATTCGGCAGGCCTCCCAATGCCATGCGTGAACTGCACATCTTGTTGCAGGGATGTATGCATTCGTTTTCGAGAGCACACCGCTACTCGGCTAGCGTCCGCGAAGTTCAACCACATGCAAGCTAGGCTTGTCGACAGCGATGCTTGGCTGAGTCTAGCTGGGACGGCGACAGCATTGGCACTGGACTTGCTCTCCATTTCATGTTGGCATGACGGGTCGGTTATTGATGCAAAATGTAAGGCTGATGTGCAAAACCCGCTGGCCCACCTCGCTTGGCGGCCTCCTCCCTCCACTCCGCCGAGTAGCCGTTGCCCGTGAAGATCACGTGCTTGTTCTCCTATGCCCACTCGCAGTCGCAGGAAGCCTTCTGTCCCTGTCCTAGCGCCCGAGCCTGCAGAGTATCCATGTTTGTTCTGAAGTTCTGCCCTAAACTGCAAGCCCTGAAACCTCAAAATACCTCAAGCAGAAACCTGCTGAAGATTTCTGAATCCTGTCCCACATTCCAAGCCCCGACTTCCTAGGCCATGGACGCTTCTCGAGTCCTGAAGCCCTCAAAAGACCGTGTGAGTCCTTGAACATCTTTGCCACCGCGTCCCTGTGGCTCATGCCACCTTCGATGAGACCGGCCAGGCTGGCCATTCCGGCCGCCATGATGGCGTTGCAAACCATGACGGGCAAACCTGGGGGCTTCATATGGCGGCCTTGCATGGCCTTGCTAATTAGAATATGGGTTCTAGTACTACTATGTTGTAAGGAATGAATGTGTGATTGTGTAGGGTGCTGTTGAAAGGAATGCTATTTCTGCCCCCCTCTCTTGCACGATTCCGGTTTGGGGCTTCAGCTCCTTTTGGGGGTCTTCGTCTCTTTAGGGATGTGTAGCGCATGGGTGTCCAAGAAAAGGGCTTGCCAAATCAGAACTGACATCTCTGCACGGAACCGCGATGCAGCTGGGGCACAGCAGTTCTGCGAGGAGCCAACTGCCCTAAACTCGAAGCGGTTGCCACAGAATGGGAAAGGTGCTGTTCGATTCCTGTCCTCCGAGCGGGTTCCCAAACTCCAAGCCCTAAGCCCCGTTCAAGCCTGCTCGATTCGTCCTTGATCCCATAAATGCTACAAGCTCTAAACTCGGCGGAGCCTGAAGCCTCTTAGTCTTTATACCCTAAAGCCATGATCTCGCAAGCATTCCCTTGCACCGGTGCATGCTACACCCTTGCATGGACCTTCAATGAGTTAACAAAGCCCCACCTTCGTTAAAACGACCCTGTACCTACTGTAGCGACTTGTCGGTAGTGAGAGGAGCCATAAGTTGATAAACAAACGGTATAAACGAAAGCATGTACACTAGCAAAGGTGATTCTGCATAGACAAGACTATAGTGATGAAAAGGTCCTCCACATTGGCCTCGATGTGCATTGCTTGCGAGCATCCGGTCTGCTGATGCTTCCTTACCGCAGTGGCACTGGGCACACCCAGCACAGCAAACGCTGACAAAAAAAAAGCGCTGCCATTGCAATCTATCACCAACATTCACCAACCATAATAAAGCTATCAAGCACGAGCTATTTGTCAAACTGTCGACAATGCATCCATGTAGCTTTTCAGCTTTGTAGCCCAACAAGTCTGCGCCTCCGATGATGGCATCGACGAACTGTTCGAAGCCCTGGCCGGGATAGAGCCTTGGATTCTGCGGGGAACTTCAGGTCTTCGAGGCATTTACCACAGTATAGGGGCAATAATAACTAGACTAGGGTTTTGGGGCCCATTAAACTTTAGCTATCATAAGGACCCCCAAAGGAATCATGTAGGTAACTTAGTTCAGAAACAGCTCTGACGTTCGCGTTGGTAATGAAAACAACCGTACATTAGCCACCCCACACTCCATGCCGAGGGCCAAAGAATGCAGTGTGCCAGCTTCCCTGAACCCTGAAGACCAGACCCATTCTTCCAAGGAGCGAGATAATGGCTGGAGGTGCTTCCTGCTAGCGTCATGGAATGCATTCCCATGTCTTTATATATGTCCCACTTCATGGGACAATGCACTTACCGCCGACTGCGTTCTTCTACGATAAGGGCCATGAATGGAGGCCATCAATTACGGCAGCAAGGCCAAGTTAGAGCACCCCCTCAGCCCACCGAGCACTAACCCTCAGGCCTCAAGCCCCAAAAGCGGCAAACCCTGCCTAAACAGCAAACTACCCATAGGCCCCATAGTAATTTTTGATTACCTTATTGGGTTCGAAATTTGAACCCCTTTCAAAAAGGAACTACTATGGGGCCTATGGGTACACCCTATCCGCTTTTCATTTGGTCTCTCCCCGCGCCTGGGCCCCCAGTCGGTGGTCGTTGCCTGCCGTTGCTACGCTGCAGCGCACAAGCTCCTCAGTGAGAGGTAGGATAGAGTTTAAGTCCAGGGTTTGGGGCATTGTTGACTGGATTTGTCTGGTGGTGGCCTCTGGGTTTGCGGGCTTAGGGTGGGGTGGGGGAGCTTGATTCCGTTCTCGGTCCACTGCTTTCGCAATTGGAGGCCGCGCAAGGGATTGCACTTTCCGTCCTGCTCCCACAAAATGTTCTCAAACGCCCATCTCGCTGAGGCGGAGGTTCTGGGTTTTCAGTCACGGGTATGAAAATCTTTTGAGGCTGAGACAGGATAACTAAGGCAGGTCCGGGCCTCGGAGCTTCGCAAACCTTGTTCATGTGCGTTCAAGCCCTTTCTCCGACGGCTTAACCTGCCGGAGGATATGGACATGATGATGGCATTGGGGGACATATGCGGAAAAAGACCAAGAGTGCAGGAGGTCTACAAACTACCCAAAGGCCCCAAAGTAGTTCCTTTTGGGGGTTCATATTCAGAATTCCATAAGGTAGTCTCAAAAACTATGGGGCCTATGGGTACTTTAAGTTCGATCTCCAGACTCCGTTTGAGAACGAAGTGACTGAAACTACGGCAGGCGACGTTTTGCTTGCCCTGACGGCTCAAAAACTCTTTTGTGCACTTTCGGAAACGTTACAACGATAATCGAACAAGGCAAACAGCAACAACAGCTGCAACATTGTAAGATTGCTGGATAACTGTCGGTATGTCTGGCGAGTCGTCCAGTCCGACGCGAGCCGTTCTTTTTGAGCTGCACACGCGGCAAGCCGCCAAAATGCAAAGAGACTCTACTGAGTCTGCTGGTTGTGCATTATTGTCAGCGACACTTCAGCGAAAGAAAGTACAACACTACTCGTAATCCATAGAGCCCCAGCTTGATCCGACAACAAATGCAGCCATGGCTCGTTGTACTGCGACAGGCCATATGCCAAGCAGGCGATGCCAGTAACAAACAGCTTCTTTCCTTCCTCCGTCTTTCCGGGATAGAAAAAGTTAAGGCCAGTATCAGTTCCCACTGACCAGTTGGCATGCTTGCCACTGCCATTGATACCCGCAAATGGCTTTTCATGGAACAGCACCTGCAAGCCAAGCTTGGCCGCTTCTCGGTTCATGGTCTCCATGAAAAAGACATTGCTGTCGCAGGACACGTTGGCCACCCGGAAAACCGGAGACATTTCGTGCTGACCCGGCGCGACTTCGTTGTGCTTCACGGCCATGGGACATCCAATTAGTAACATTGCTGCCTGAACGTTGTCGAGCAAGGTCTGTACGCTCGTGGGAATGGCTTGGAAATAATTCAGGTCGCCCTGTTGGTGGCGCGTGGGCAACTTGCCAAACAAGGTCCGGCCAGTGTTCACCAGATCAGGGCGGGCCTTGTAGAGTGCTGCATCCAGCACGAAGAACTCCTGCTCCCAACCCAGGTAGCTATGCATCGTCTGAGCATCCTTTCCGAGTCCAACGGCTTTCAGCATTCGAAGACCTTGAGCCTTCACGGCGTCCATGGACCGCAAAAGAGGGGTCTTCTCGTCGATGCACTTCCCGAAGTGCGTGATGAAAGCACAGGGAATGTAGAGGGTCTTGTTGAGAACAAACGGCGGAGAGGACCTGTCCCACGTGGTGAACGCTGCAGCGGAATGCGTCACACGAAGACCTCCATTTGGGAATGAAGAGCCATCAGTTTCTCCTTGAAAAAGTCGCTCCGCTGGCAAACAGGCCTTGGAGCAGGAGAAGTGCGGAAAACCAGAAAACGAACTGCAACTGTGGTCACAGCTTCTGCCAAGCCATCCGCAGGATGGGCTACAATCCGGGGCATTGAGACATCCCGACCCTCCACCCTAATCAGGCCCCAGTTGAAATCTGCAGGGCGGGAATGTGAGGCCCGCCTTCATGGGCTTCGTCACAAACTTGGAAGAGAACTCGAGGTCCAGGAGAGTGTCCTGCAGGCGTGCACTGACACCTTGTCATTTTGGCAACTTGTCTCGGGGCCATCCCTTGGGATACCAAGTTCGGCTGACAGGAAGGGACGAAACTTGAAACGGTCGTGATTACTGCTGACTCTCTCTGCCGCCCTTAGGAGTTTCCGAAAATGAGGGACCGTAATATAGTACCCTACAGTAACTCGTAGGATGCTCGTAAGGACCCCAAAACAAGGTACCCCTAATTTTCGGAAACTCCCAGATCGCATTCATAAAGCATCCCGAAGAGCGGGGCACTGAGGCAAGCACCTGCTTGTACGCGCCCAGCATGCCGCCCACTGCTCCGCCCTGTCCGCGCAAAGGGAAGAACCAGTGGGCAAAGTCCACAGCACCACGTTCTCGCGCCTGGGACACTGCTTTGGGTGTGGGGAAGCAGTCTCACAGTGACACAAAAAGATGAGAGCTCAGCTCTTGTTAACATTTAATAAGGCAGATAACCATGAAAGCTAATTCATCAAGCGACCCACTCGTACATTGTGTCCGCGATGATTTTCTGATCCTGCAAGTCTTTTGACGGTTGCGACGACAGGTTGTGCATCCAAGAGCAGGTTGAGTGCAACACTGCATCAACGCCCTACCCGGGAGGGTCCAAGCCGAAAAGGGGCAGAGGGGCGAACCTCTTCAGTCGTGGGTGCACCGCTGATGAGGCACTCCTGCCAAAGGAATCTGGTTCACTCAAATCCAACCGGACTCACACGCCCACCATGCTCTCATATCTGAAAAAGGCAACCCCACCATTAAAAATTAGACACCCTATGCTACGTAAGGCCTATTTGAACAGGACTTCTATCGTCCTGGAACCGCTTGACGACCGCAGCCGGGAGCTTCTCCGCCATCACCTGTTCGTACGGGACCCTCAATGTAAGAATCAGGTGCGCGCGACTGAACTCGCTGCAGGGGAATCATTAACACAACGTTGAAAGTGCCGAACCGGACCCTGCACTGGTCTTGTTCCGACTTGGCCTTGTCGTCAAACATGTTCTTTCCCATAGTCGCCAGCGGATCTGTTCCAGCTGGTGTGCCGGTAACGGCTGAAACGGCCTCAAGAATCGCCCGAAACACTCTTGGAGCCGCTAGGGCAAGCTGAGGCAACACGTACCTTGCACAGACACTGAATCCACGGGACCACAAGGCTGGAAACTTCGTAGGGTTTCAAGCCCCTGAAACAAATGAACTTCCTAGCCAGCTGCCTGCATGACCGCTGACGATGTAGCTTGACCCATGGCTACCTGTTCAGCGGGATGCCACTGTGATGTTAGACTACAACCAGGAAGTGGCAAAACATTGGATTGAGAGCATGCGCCTGAGCTCTCTGGCGTTTTCACGGGCCTTTTTACAACGCCAAATGGCAAACAAGTGCTTTTGAGCCAAAGCATGTACTGACCGGATACTCGACACCACCACCATCGCCGAGCACTCAGCTCAGATGCAGGTGCGTCGCAAAAATGTCAGAGTGCGTTCTATATCGACGGCATTCGACAGCTACTCTATATAAAACGCTAAGTTCGCTCACATCAACTCGACCTTGTTTATGCGCTGGATTTAGAATCAGAAGAGGGTTTGGGGTTTGTAGTGGGCTGATCTTCCGACCCCTTCCTGCATGAAATTTCCCAAGGCCTGTCCGCGGCGAAGCTGTTCCGCAACTTCGCAGCCTCCTGTGGAAGGCTCAGAAATGACATTTCTCGGCCGACTGTAGGAAGGATTTCTAGGTTCCCGCTCAACCCTTATCCGATACTCCTGCTTTTGCAGCTGACTATAGACATGTTATCGCACTTGCGCTTGCAACACACAGATGGATGGAATGGGTCAAACGAAACCTTCGAGAAACAGTACATCAAAACTTAATCGAGTGCCTGCTTGGAGTCCCGCACCATTTTCCGAACACCTTCCGTGTCCTTGTTGCGAGCCTCCCTGGGCAGAAGAACTGTCCGGTGCTTAGAAGGGAATGAATGGGGGAATGGATCCCGAGAGTAGTCCCCACATCATCCCCAATATTAAGAAAATCTGTTGCCTGTTAACTCTGGAAATGCTGTATTTCCTAAATATGCGTTTCAGATCCGTTTGGGATCCGTCTGGGGGTCCGTTTTGGATCCGTTTCGGATCCGTTTTGGATCCGTGTGGGGTTGCGTTTGGGGCCCCAGCCCCGGAACACCAAAACGGATTTGCAACGGGCCCCAAACGGACCCCCTGACGGGTCCGCAGGCGGGTCCCCCAGATGGGTCCCCGGCGGGTCGCCGAAACCACGAATCCCTCGAGAGGGATCCGTTTTTAATCCGTTTTGGATCCGTTTTGGATGCGTTTTGGATCCGTTTTGGGTCCGTTTTGGATCCGTTTGGGGCCCCAGCCCCGGAACACCAAAACGGATTTGCAGCGGGCCCCAGACGGACGCCCTGACGGGTCCGCAGGCGGATCCCCCAGACGGGTTTGTCGGCGGGTCGCCGAAACCACGAATCCCTCGAGAGGGATCCGTTTTAAATCCATTTTGGAAACGTTTTGGATGCGTTTTGGATCCGTTTGGGGACCCCAAAACGGATCCAAAACGGATCCAAAACGCATCCAAAACGGATCCAAAACGGATTTAAAACGGATTAAAAACGGATCCCTCTCGATGGATTCGTGGTTTCGGTGACCCGCCGGGGACCCATCTGGGGGACCCGCCTGCGGACCCGTCAGGGGGTCCGTTTGGGGCCCGTTGCAAATCCGTTTTGGTGTTCCGGGGCTGGGGCCCCAAACGGATCCAAAACGGATCCAAAACGCATCCAAAACGGATCCAAAACGCATCCAAAACGGATCCAAAACGCATCCAAAACGGACCTGCGAAAACGCATGCATTCCAAACGGATTACCAAACGCATTCCCCCATGCATCCAAAACGGATTCTAAACGGATTATTAGGCTTCTGCGCCCCAACCCAGTGTTAGCAGAACCAGATTTTCATAACCCCAATAATAGTCTCCATAATCCATTCCCCCAGGTCCTACTAAGCACCAGAAGAAGAGGAAGCACTTCATGAATCCATCCCATGGACACGGCACGCCAAAGTGCTCGAAAGCTTGCTGGGACCCCTGCTGCAAGCTGCTTCTGTAGTCATTCACCTGGCGCAGGAGATTTTAGAATGCGGGCCGGGCCAGGTGAAGGGATCCCAGGTACCGATTCTGAGCCATCGGAAGGTGCTGTGTCGCAGCGGGCTTTGAAGCAACCCGGGCTTCCTTTCGTTTAATCTCGTTTACTGGTCAAGTGGACTGCCTTCCCCGGGTTCGTCTATGGTTAGTGGCTCTGCTGAATTCCATTCCGGACACAGTGCAGTCGGAGGCAGCACGACATCTTTTTTTGTCCGGTGCTTGCCAGTCTGAGTCTTGACACTCGTTCTCCTTGGTCGTGGCAAACATTTGCGATGCGTCCAAGGTGTTCCGCCACCCGCGCGCTTTCCCGCCGGTTTGTTCGGCCGCGGTGTAGGAGGCTCAGCTCCAGTGTCTTTGTCTGACTTCGCTCCCCGCGCCCGCTCAAGACTGCAGTACAGGTCTTCCCAAAAACCGTCTTCATAAGGTCTCTCCAGAGGGGAGTTCACCCTGGGTGGGGCCATCCAAAGGTTCAGTGCCAAATGGCCCCCAGCGTCGCCGCCGTAAGAAATGACCTCATGAAACCAACTGGCAGGCAGGTAAAGCAAGTCACCCACCTTCAGTGTGGCAGTCAGGTGACGACCCTGGAGGCTGCTTGGAACAGGCCTCTGGGCGCCTTCGCAAGTGCTCGCATGGCAGAAGCTGTCGGGCAATGAACTCTTGTCGGTTGCGCGACCTTTGCCATCAACATCCGTTTCCATCGCCTCTGTCAGCAATTGATCCAGCTCCGCCTCTTCGTCATCACTGTTCAGGACTCCATTCCTCTCACTCCGCCCAGCACCCCAAGCTCGAGCAACGGACGCTGGTGCACCGTCCGACCGAATACCCGGCACGTAGCTTATGAGGCCATTCGGGTGCAGCTTTGCGTCTCCCTGCATCACTCCAACCTTGCGTCAGCAAAAAATACGACTACGACTTGGAACCTGCAACCGGAGAGCTCCATGAGTGCGTCTGCAACTATAGCCCAACAACTACAACTAGTTCTTCTTGATACCGCACGATGACTACACTTTGACAGTCCTGGCTACGAGGACTAGACGTTTGCATCCAGCCTTCGCGCACAGCAATCGGCTAAGGCTGGATCTTGACATGACACTTTGGGCTCACAAAAGAGAGCTTTACTTACAAGTGTAGCTCTTGCACTCTCGCTCCTGGAGCGATTTTTGGGCTGGGTTTACGCTCGCGCAACTCGGACGGGTAGCCGCCTTTGCATATTCTCAAACACCACCCTGGGGGCCGAGCCCATGGTAGCATTGTCGTTCGGGGAGGCGCTGGTTTTGCGACAATAATAACTCAAGTTGGAAGCCACGAATAGTCATGTAAAAACGACCCGGTGTGCGAGGTAAATTTTAGATGACAACATCTGCACCACTGCACCAAGGAAGTGTGCAGCCATGTCACTGGGCTCAGAATATCCAAGCAGCGTGGGCTGAACAGTCGAAACTCCTTGCAACCCCTCAGCAGCACATAGATGTTGTCATGGAAGTCATGGTGCAGGCCAGATGAGGAGCCCTCCTGCGACCGCCCGAACCACAGGTTGTATTGGACCGGAGCCAGACAGCTCACAAGCGTTGGTCGAAGATTCTCTGCTTCCTGCAATAAGTTCAGGACGTGTGGCGGTGCCAATGCTTTGGGACAGCCCCTTTCATCTTCTGGGAGGGCTTGTGTTGTCAAGTATGCCAGCTCGTTTCCCTGGTCGATCTCATCGCAGAACTGCGAAAGAGTGGTAACTTCCCGGGCTCCGGCATCCTGTTGGCCAAAAAACTGGGTGGTCCCGGCGCGACGTTCCACCTCCACCTGGGAGTTTCCGGAATTAGAGGACCCTAATATGGTACCCCCAAATAGTAGGGTCCTTACTATAAGGCCCCCAAAATAAGGTATTACCCCTAATTTTCGGAAACGCCCACCTGGCACTTACCAGCAGGGCCTGAGCGCATCGCCGCTGTGCCCTCGCTGCCAGGGCACGCCCAATTCGCTGCCTCACCCCGAAGTCCAAAGAGGGCCTCAAGGACTCCAGGTGCCGTCCGGCCGGTGCTGATCACAACGGGCTTCCTTTGCTTCACAAACTGCTCGTAGAAGAAAGAGGGCTCCATCAAATCCCATGGCCTGCGCTCCACCGAGCCCCCACCACCAACCAGCTCGCCATGCTTGTAATCCAAAGGACCTGGGAAACTCAAGACAAATAAAGCTAAACAAGTGCTTTGTAAGTCCGCATCCTGTTTGCTAAGTCCGCATCCTAAACCCTAAAACCCCATTGAACCACAAGATATCATATTACATTATGCTAATTATACTATACTATACTATACGATACCATACAAGACTATACTATATGACAACATGTTAAAATAGTGCCAGGGACAGAAGCCGCGATAGCTACGTCGGAGCCCTGGGCCATTGTCCCTCACTCGATCACCCGAGTTTGCTCCATTTCCCCGGCGCGGGCGCCCGCGCCCTCCCATCGCTGTTGACAACACCTATCTAAATATGATGACATGTAGACTTATTTATTTTATCTTTCCGTACGTGTATATAGATATGTGCATATATATATATATATATATATATATATATATATATATATATATATATATATATATATACATGTGTATATACATACATATATATATATGCTTATTTATAATGATATTCTATATATAAAAAAGTCACTATATGTATAACCATACCGTGTGGTAAACACAGGGAAGAGGTAAACACTAAGCTGTCGATGGCTAAAGTGTATCAAGACAGGGAGATACAGACCGTCCTGTGTTGTGGGACACGGCTCAGCAGGCAAGGGATATCTGGCATTTTACAACCGTCCGAAGTCGGGGCATATGACATGGGACTGACTTGGAATTCCAAACTTTGTCGCGCATTCTCAGGGTGAAGTGTGAAGCACAGAAGACAATGCTCGAGCCAGAAGTCACAGACCATTGAATTTCATCATGCTAAGGTTAAACATGCCTTCGAGACCAAGCAAACGGTGTCGCTTCTTTTCCCTGATGCCTGTGCCAAGCTGATACCAGGATCGAACTGCCGCGACCAGGCGCAGCAAATTTCCGGAAGGGGTTACAGTCACCACACCTCCTCATCGCAGTGATGCGGTGACCCACTGCCGATCTGAGTCTTGCTGTATATATGCGTTCTGACCAGCGCATGAACCTGCACTGTCAAACAGGGCATGCAGGAAGACTGATCGAGAAATTTTCGCACGTCAGCTAGCTCAGGACGGCTTCCAACGAGGATCGAAGGGGCCGCCCACGGTCTTCCTTAGAACTTAGAACCGAGTTGGGATGGACCTCAACTTTGATGCACCACCCAGATTTGCCCGCTGTTGTGCAAAGCAGCGTTTCGAGGAACTCAATGCAAACATCGCGAACCTTAGCCATGCAATCTACACTGCAACTCAAACTGCCACTGCTGCTGACGACCCCGGTCGGGACCGTCACTTCATTCCTAGGCGACCTGTCCGTTGTACTTTGGGTGTAGTGACGCTTACTTCTGCTGCTGGCATAGACTTCGCGAGCAGCTTGAAAGCCAGAACAAGCTAAGTTCCGGGCATCCCAACGATACTGGGGCAACACGGCCTGCATTCGCCAGAAATCTTCAGTCTTCAGCCATCTGCGGCCATCAACATCTCTAGTTACCTAGTTGTCACCCCCGGCCTGCAGCAAGTACATGTACAGCAGGACCCAAATCATAGATCCGATTCCCCATGCGAAAGCTGCCAGCACGCTCTTGGCCGTCGGTTGCACCTCCTGCGATGGACTGGGAAGAAAGGCTCGGAATCCAAGACTTGTGGCGTGTATTCAGGCCAACCGACCATGTTTACATGCTGACTTCCGCGGACCTGCAGTTCGGGGTCCGTCACTTGACTACTTTGTCCCCTAGTAATCCATGCCCTCTCGCCCCGTGACTTACCTGGCTTCCAGCCCAAAACCCAAGAGGCACTCCCTGTGGTCTTGTCGCAATCTACGACAATGTCAGAGGAAGTTGCCAACAAGTCCGTCTTTTGCAGCGCCGGTCGGGCAGGGCGTCGCTCGCGATCTGATCCCTGCACTCTCAGAAGGGGCTAAAGGCTGCGGCCGCAATCCGTTGATTGCAGTGGCTACTGAATTAGATCGGACTTCGAACTAAACCCAGGGCTGTGCCCGGAAGCCTACGTTGCACGGTCGCTTGCCGTGATTGCCAAGGCAAGCTATGTCAAAATTGAATTCCATGGATTTTTTACATCGAGCATGCTTAGCATTCGAAAGGGCCCTCGTGTCCCCTGCAGAAAAGATCGTGGGTGTTGTCCACCAGAATTCCTCCCAGAATTGCGCCCAAGTCACCGACGAAGCACCAGAAAGAGTATGACGCCAAGTTGTGCTCACTTGGAATGTGCTTGTCTACGTGGTTGGCTGTCAGACCATAGATGGTACCATTCCCCCAGAACACAAGGAAGATTGCTAGGGGGATGACAATGGCAATGGCAAGCGACTCCAGGTACAAACCTATGCCGATCAATGCCATCGCCACTCCCAAGTACGCTAGGCGCCGAAGCAGGCTGGGAGTGGATATGTAGATAGCGATGCGACGGCTAATGGAATCACCCAGGAAGATGAAGACATAAGTCACAGCGAAGAACTGGCCCCATTTCATGAGGTGCTGCTCACTATGAGGATCAAAGAGAGGCACCATGGGAGGATGGAACATGTAGAAGATGGCTGGCCAATTCTCCATGGCAAAGTGGCTGAGGAACTGTGCCGCAAAGAACGGAATCATGCCTGGCCTGGGCTGTAGAGCAATAGTAGTAATAGTCATAGCAATAGTCACAGTAATAGTCATAGTCATAGTAATAGTCATAGTAATATAGTCATAGTCATAGTAATAGTAATAGCGTGAAGAAGAAGAAGGAAGAGAACAATCAGAACCGTGGCAATTCCCGTCATTTCGAGGGATTATTCACCGTTCCCTTCCAACATTCGCCTATGCTCATAGCTGCAAACCCAAGCAGCATCCATCGCCTGGCCTGGACAGTCAGGTTTTCACACATAGATCAAGTAAAAGATGCTTCCACCAAGTTCTTCTTCTTCTACTACTGCTACTACTACTCCTACTACTACTACTACTACTACTACTACTCCTACTACTCCTACTACTCCTACTACTCCTACTACTACTCCTCCTCCTCCTACTCCTACTCCTACTGCTACTCCTGCTGCTGCTCATAGGGCTCGTTGCTCCCGCAGTTACTCAGTTACTGCTAGAATTCCGCCGCACCTGCAGCAGGGATGCGCCAAAGTTAGCCGTCTTCAGCTCGGTGCTGCCACGAGGTGCGAGGCGGCAGAAGAGGGCCAGGCCAATCCTTATCATTGAGACATTCGAAGCTTGCAAAAATGCCATCATGTTGATCATCTATGTTTGTGAAGAGAATTTGAAAACATAAAATGACATGCAAATCTGAAAACAAGTGAACATTTTGTGTAATCAGTGTATGAACAGGAGGGGATGGGGGAGGGGGAGGGTGGCGGGGTTGCGCCAGCCGCACACAAGGAACATGTGAACACAGATGGAAACAATGAATTAAGAAACGCATATGGTACAACAGTGTGAACAAACTCTGAAAGCATGACAAAACCATGCTTGGACAACTGACGTTGATGTGTGTTTGTTGCGTCAGGCTGAAGTAAGACCAAACATCCTGGTTTCACGAGACTTCAAAAAGTCTCAACCTTATCATGACATTTGATGTTTGCCTGAGTCTTTATGACGTCACGGCATCACATTGCTCTACATTGCCAAGCCTTCAGATCTACTCTCCTTCAAATCTGCAATCACGTACTTGTCAAGATAGTGACAAATCAAAGCAGGGCCCACATCCCACACCTGCGCTTATGTCTTTAGCGGTGGGCTCTCACTGTCAGACACCCGCCCCCCCCCCCCGCCCCCGCTTGCAAAAGAGGACGAGAGTCGGCAGGCAGGCCAGGATGTAGTAGAAGATGTACACCATTTCGACACCGAAGGAGCTCGCCGTAAGGCCGAGGATATTGATGGTTGCGAAACCCATCGGGCAGCCCACAATTGCCCATGCCTTTGTGGCCCTTCCCAAAGGCGTGATGACACTAAGGAAGGTCACCTCAAAAATTCCAAGCCCTAGGCCGGAGAGCATGTAAGCAATGAACACGGAACCTACCCAGTCCCAGCCCATGGTGAAGACTAGGAAAGTTGGGATTGTCACTCCCAGGAACATGAAGCACATCGCAATCACCACCCGAGTCCACGGGCTAAGGCATGCAAAAACGAGGTTGTGACCCAAGCGAGCGATCAACTTGCCATAGTGGACGCCTACAGCTGCCTGAGTGAAAGCATGCGCCGCTGCGGTTCCATCCGTACTGATTCCCAGTCTGTGCTTGTAGGCCGACTGCAGGGGGCCCACCATGGAGGCGTAGCCCTGGAACATGCTCAGCATGACCAGGCACCTCATCAAATACTCGGCCCCTGCGCCCCAAACCCGGCCCACCTTATCCTGATCATAACCCTGAAATTAGCTCCCCAAGCCAAGGGCGACTAGCCCTTGTTGCTGCGCGAGGCACATCAGCCGGACAGGGGGCTGCTCTGTAGTTGGCTTTCCCAGATCATCTGTTGCTTCGCTGTGGGACATCTCCAGATCGATGCCATCCTTCGGTGCTGTGCCTCGGCTGCGGTACTCAAGGGATCCGGGCACGAAGCAAGTACGGTACCCGGAAACTGCAGCATCAGCATCAGTTACATATATAACCACCCATGAACCTTGAGGTATAGAGGGGCCGATTACATCATTAGAGGCTTGCTTCGAGTTAGGGGCCTCTGATCGCAGCGCAGTAATGCAACGCTACCACCAACAAGTCACCCATCGTAGGTCATACACCCACAAGCTTATATTCTCATCCTTTTTGCATCCTACTGCTCCCATTCTGAAAAACTTCTGGAACTGCGCGCCTTGACCTTCAGCCAGGTCCGGCTGAGGCCCTTCCTGGAAGTGTCATGAGACTCTCAAGGTTTATACTTACGGCTTGCGGCTCCTGCGTTTTTTGTTGATGCCACAGATTTCCTTTTGCCATTCTGCCAATCGGTTCCATTACGACTGCGCCAAGGGTCTATGCTTCGGGTTGTTAAAGGCCTGCAGGACTAGGCTTTGGGCCCGATTTCGGGTTCAGAACTTGGAATTCCCCCCCCCCCAGACTGTATCAAAGCCGGACACCTTAAGACCCTCTAGTTTAAACTGTTGACCTTCCAATCCTAAATCCTCCGGTAAGAATCCTTATCAAACTCTGATGGGACAAATCAGGTAAATACCGTCGCTACCCTTAGATGCACGGCCTGCTTTGCGGCCACGACATCCACGATCTCAGTCTTCGCACCATGTGCCATCGGCTCGAGGAAATAGACTTTCCTTGCTTGCTTTTCTGAGCGCGAGGCTCCAATTTATGAATTAGGAATCTCCCATATTGTGTTGCTTCCTTTTTGAAAATCTCTTCTCGCAACTCTCCGAGGGGCCGGGTTTTCGGTCTCGGCGTTTCGTTCTTTGCCAGTATCCGGCTCCTGTTGGCCAAGCCTTGCCCCAACTGCTGCGATGTGGGTTTTACGCTCTCACACTCGCACTTGCCAGCTTTTGTCGTTTCTGCGTTCGCTCTCGGACTTGCCGGGCCGGGTTCCACAAAACAAAGCTGTTTCCGTTTGTGGTTGCCTCCTGCCTCGCCGGGTTTCCTGGCGAATTCGAATCTCAAAGTCAGACAGAACCAAGCACAGATCCACGTTTTCCGGCTGGTCTAAGGAAAGTCTGCTGCATCTCGATAGACGTAGAGTCTTAGAGGGCCTTTCTACTTGTCAATGAATGCTGAAAGTGTCACGTTCTTTTGCCGAGTCTCTGTCTCAGCAGCTCGGAGGGAAGCAAATGGACCCTACCCACTCTGCACTTGCTCTGAGCCACAACAATCCGCAACACCAGTGTGAGCATTGATGTGTGGCGCTACCCTGAAGCTGTCCATCCAGGGGTTGCCTGGCAAAGACGAACAACTAATATAGGGGCCTCAATAATTAGAATAGGGTTTTGGGGCCCGGTATGCTATAACTATGCTTATAATTAGGAACCCCAAATTGTATTGGTAATTATTTAGGCCCCCATATTATGTTACAGCTTTCAAAGCCTCTCCTTCTCTCGAGGAAGGATTTGCGTGTTGCGGGTGTCCACGACACTCTGCAAAGGCACCACCGTGCTAAAAATCACGTTGTTCAACACCAGGATGAACCTTAGCATTCGCAGGTCTGCTGCCTCCACTACATTGCAACCCGGAATCGTCCACCTCCCAGTGTTGAATATGACTGCTGCCAAAGCCAACAGCACTCCTTCGATTTAAGTGCAGCCAAGGGACTCCAAGGCAACAGCATTGAGAATGACGTCTTCAAAGCTCGGCGTTGCAGTAAGCCAGCGGCAGCCCAACCTTTCGTGGCAAGTTTGACAGATTCCAGATACCGCTTCGGTGATGGAGCAACACGAGCCTGTCAGATTTTTCAAACTACTCTATACATGTCGACAACCATCTTATCGCCTTGCTAGTCGCAAAGACACAGTAGAAGTAGTAGCAAGAATCGAAAACAAAATAGTTCGAACCCCGCAGTATAGGTCGTCCCCGTTGTCGCCGTAGTAGTAGTAGTAGTAGTAGTAGTAGTAGTAGCAGCAGCCGTCGTCGTCGTCGGGGTCGTGGTCGTCGTCGTAGTATATAGCAGCAGCAGCAGCAGCAGCAGCAGCAGCAGTAGCGGTAACATCAAAGTAGCGGCAGTCGATGACTCGTTGTCGGTGGTCGTGGTCCTGGTCGTCGTCGTCGTTAGTAGTAGTGGTAGTAGTAGTAGTAGTAGTAGTAGTAGTAGTAGTAGTAGTAGTAGTAGTAGTAGTAGTAGTCGTAGTAGTCGTAGTCGTAGTCGTAGTCGTAGTCGTAGTCGTAGTCGTAGTAGTCGTAGTAGTAGTAGTAGTAGTAGTAGTAGTAGTAGTAGTAGTAGTAGTAGTAGTAGTAGTAGTAGTAGTAGTAGTAGTAGTAGTGTAGTAGTAGTGTAGTAGTAGTAGTAGTAGTAGTAGTAGTAGTAGTAGTAGCAGTAGCAGTAGCAGTAGCAGTAGCAGTAGTAGTAGCAGCAGAAGAAGGAGGAAGTAGTAGCAGTCGTCGTCGTGGTCGTCGTCGTAATTGTAGCAATAGCAGTAGCAGTAGGAGTAGTAGTAGTAGTAGTAGTAGTAGTAGTAGTAGTAGTAGTAGTAGTAGTAGTAGTAGTAGTAGTAGTGGAATTAGGAGCAGGAGCAGTAGCAGGACCAGTAGCAGCAGCAGGAGCAGTGGCAGTAGTAGTAGCAGGAGTGGGAGCAGGAGCAGGAGTAGGAGTAGTCGTAGTAGTAGTAGTAGTAGTAGTAGTAGTAGTTGTTGTTGTTGTTGCTGCAGCAGCAGCAGCAGCAGCAATCGCAGTCGCAGTAGGAGGAGTTTCTACTACTGAAAGTAGTACTACTGTAACTGTAAGCATATCTCTCACAACTTTCCATACTCGCACAAAGCGGGCAAGGCTTGTTGACAGGATGCCACTATATCCAGGCTCACACTCGCGCAAGGCGGGCAAGGCCACTCACAACTTGGACAAGCCTGGACGGCAACTGCATTTGTTCCAGGCGTCCTCAATCTCCGAAACCCTAGGCCCTAAGCCCTAAGCAGAACCGAGGCACCATAGCAGGTAGATATCCACCACGAGGCGCGGAAGGAAGAGAACAATCGACAGGGTGATCTTGACCTCAGCTGCTATGATAGAGCCTCTTGAAGATATTAGAAGCGGAGGCAAGTGCAAAGAATCATCAACCCCTCAAAATACCGTGAACCTGAACCGGAGTGCCACAAAGCCACGGGAGCTGTCAAGCCGATGATGACAAACTCCTCATCGGAACCCTCCTGACGTCAAGTATGATGCCCGAATAACAGCAGAAGAGTGGTTGAAGGCTCTGTTGTCAGAAAAGCACAAAAGTTTCTGGGCGGTTTTAGTCCAATCAGTTGACCCGTATTGCAGAGCGTCTGAGGGCAAACACGGTGGCTAGGTTGCTTCAATCACTACAAGTTCAGTGGCAGCATCATGTCAGGGCAGAAACTTCACAGAGTGCCCACCAAAGCATCGACAAGTGGACGATCTTCAGAGACAGCCCTGCTGAGAAACTACTGGCAAGTACTCATAGATGTACACGAGATACCAAACAAGAGCTTGCAGATGATGGCAGTGCTCCAGTGCTACAAGCAAAATTAAATCTCAAGCAGGAACGACAGACATCTGGGGCATTCGGTTTCATTCCGGGGTCTTACCTGGCATGAATGGGAAAGAGCGAACATTGAACCGCACAACATAAAACCCAGCTTCGTGACACACAGTGTCATCCAAGTTGCTCTCATGACAGAAGATTGCAACGACCGTTCTTGTGAGCTCAAGTAATTAAGGCCAACTGCTCGTACATAGAATGGAACCTCCACCTGCCAACACACCCTAGACTGGTAGGCAGGTAGGTAGGTAGGCATGTAGAGTGTGTGTGTGTGTGTGTGCATATTGCTTACATATCCACAGTACACCTGCGCACATCTTTTCGGTGTCTTTCTGAGCGTGAAGGTGATGTCAGCCCCTGCTCCCATGCATGTCTGCACGCCTGAACTTCGTCGGTTGTGACGCATGCCGCTTTTCAGCGCTGAAAGCAGTCTTGTATGTACGACTTAGGGGGGCGAGTGTCTAGCTCTCCAGGCCCGCCAGAGTTTCCTTCAGAAAATCCCCAAACCCTGCATAGCTTGAATACGGTATCTCTCATACCCCTTAACTTTTCAGAAAACCCTAGATTCTTCGGAAGCTTCCTGGTCTGTATCTGGGAATCCGGCGGCTTGCTCCATGGAGTCTTTCATAGAGTCGATAGTTGGTGTGATACGGACAATCCGCACCTGACATTCGGAGTGTAGTTGCGGCTGTGCTTTGACTTCTGGGAAGCTCAGGGCAGCGTTTTGAAGCCACTCTGGGCTGTAAGATGGACAGTTGTAGTTAGGAGGGCATGTCTCAGCGAACACGCGAGAAGCCGCCTTCCGCCGTGCTCAAGCCTGCTAGCTTCGTCTGGGAGCCGCACCCACGTATCGATTGCCTTGCGGATGTCGGCAACAACCTGTTGCTGAGCACGCGGTGGTTTGGGAAATACAGGCGGCAAAACCCTTTGATGCAAACCTTACTTACGTGTGCACGGACACTTGGAGCCAATAGTTCCGGGTGGGGAAAGCATGAGTATGGCGATCGGATTGCTGACATAGCCAGTCAGCTATGAGTCTCACAAGAAATCGTACGCAGCCTGACGGATCCCACTGCACCCGGACACGTCCCCAAGCCCTGGAAACCAGACCCCGAACGGCACTCCAGACTCCGCAACCTAGTTCCGAAAATCGCAAAGAGCCAAAACCATGCGTCTAACCTCCTGGAAGAAACTGATATGCCGAGTGGCAGTGAAAGTCCAGATCGTGAGTAGAGTCATGAAGAAGGTCGGCTGCGACAATGGGATCTGACCTTTCTACTCCCCCTTGCCAAAGCTTCCTTTACGAAACCACACACAATTCTGCGAAGTCCATCGGCGACGGCATGTCGGCAACTGATCACTCTCATAATGACAGCTTGTTCAACATCGTACACCTCATTATCGGATCACGGCTTCGACCTCGCCTGATGGTGCCGTAGGTCAAACTTACAAGAAGCAGCAATGTGATGGTGCAGTGTGAACTGCATCTCCGGGGACACCACAACAGGAAAAGCCCCGTGCAGCAGAGTTGCACACTTGCTCCTTGTCCTCCCTTGGCTGCAGGAGCGGGTGCATGGCTTCAAGCTCTTGCGACGTACAGGTCCCGGGTGGCCGCTCTTCGAACATTTCTGCCATGCGTAAGAATCTCTACAAATCGATAAAGTCCAGGCTGCGAAAGGGTCACAGGGGTCTCCAGACTTGAGGTCAGCATCGTGATGCGCCCTTCTTTGCGCACTCGAACATTGCTGCTGAGGGTTCTGGCAGCTGAATCAGGCGACCAAGGGGCTCATCTAACTTTTCAAAGTTCTGCGGATCGAAGTATGGCTCTCTTCCACGGTGAAAGCCATTCGCCTCAGTCTCCCATGGCTTCGAGAGCCCCCTGGTTCAAGGCAGTCGCAATCAAAACAGATCAGAGTAGATGGTCATCGAAGCCAAACCCTCTACATAAACAGTCATCAAGGAGGAATGGGCCATGTAACGGCCTCTGCTCTTACTCAAGGCAAGTGACGGTGCGCGCCATGCGGGCTGTGTCGTTTCCGTACCTTCCCGATATCTTTTCGGCAGGATGCTTCGGCCAGCTCACGGCTCGAATCCTACTTTCCCCCAGCTAGCATCCGTCCACACACACGTACACATACACATGTGCGCACGCACACGCACAGACACACACACACACACACACACACACACACACACACACACACACACACACACACACACACACACACACACACACACACACACACACACACAGAGACAGACCGAGACAAGCCCCTGCAAAAATACCATACATCCGCGAGCGCATGGCTAGGTGGCCCGGTAGCACAGTCACATGCCAAGCTGGGCAAGTAGAGAGGATAAACAAAGGCAAGGGCCGCACTCAACTTCGAGCCGGGGTTTTGCAAGTTCATCAACGCGAAGCTTTCAATTTATCCTTTCTTCCTGCCTAGCTTTGCATATTTACTTGCTGGTGAATGCGAGGTAGGTGGGTACGCAGCAGTACTAGGACTGGGATGTATACGTGCCTGTGCAAGTCTGAGTGTGTACGTATGCAGCACGAATGAATGTCAAGACTGGATGTTAGGCAGGCGTAGGGCTTCGGTAGGTAGGTAAGTAGGGAGGGAAGCAGCGAGGGAGGCAAAGGTAGGTAGGCAGGTTATAGGCAGACAATGAGTGCAGGCTTACCTACGTGCGAAAAAACATGTATGCATGCGTCATACGTATGTGTGCCTGCATTTAATTGTGTATGTGTGCATGTATTATGCATCTAGGTGCAAGGTTTCGAAAGCGCCATTCCGACCATTCCGGAGCTTGACAAACTGGGACAGGTTCTGAACAAAGAACTGTTGCTTTGTTGTGGTCATACTAACTGACTACTGACTACAAGACTACTACTCCCTACTAATGCTGCTGCTGCTGCTGCTGCGGCTGCCACTTCTGCTAATTCTACTGCTACTACTACCTACTACTCCTGCCTACTACTAGTACTCCTCCTACTACTCCTGCTGCTACTACTACTGCTGCTCAGCAATGAAAACAATCGAGGCAATACTAAACACGTAATAACCGACCGTCTGCAAGCAAGCACCTGCTATGCCGACCTCAGTGTACTACCACTCCATGCAACCATGTTCTCCGCTATTCTCCTACTCCGCTTGCTCGGGCTGTGACTGCCCATGATTATTGTGGTTCCGCCGGTTATGGTTGTTTCGATCCTCATAGTTGCCGTACTAACTTCATACTGAAAGAGCACATGATGATCTCGTAGCGATCGTAGACGCTGCGGATCTGATTCACGGCCACCGAGGTCACCAAGGCCTGACAGCCATTCAGGTTTCGTCCAAGCAAGCAGTGCAGCAATGCTGTGGCTGTCAGACAGTTCTCGATCCGGGCTCAAGCCCGGCTAGGACGAGAATAGTGTGACTGAAGTAAGAATTCGGGGCAGTTCTACATAGCCAACCGTGAAGACAGCTCAAGACATGGCCCATTGAAGCACCTTCAGCTCCGCCATGAGGTAGATCTGCAAGATCAGGACCAGCACCAAGATCCTGGGCAGGGGGCACTCTAGAGGGCTGCTAAGGCCTAGGGTGCTCCAATAAGCCACTCCTTACAGTGGAACGTCTCCTACTACACCTCAGCTGAAGGCGAACATGCGAATCATGCTCGCCACCCTAAACCCTAAACCCTAATTGAGGAAAGATTCATGACCGAAACTCCCATCCGAGCAATCATCAAGCCAGCGGAGGAGTACCCCCTGCAGAAGGATCGGGTGTCTCGGACCTCAGCTTTTGCGTGGCCGCTCGCCGAGACACAAGTGCACCAGGCAATCTTTCGAGTGCCTTCAAAGCCATGCTGTATCCGCAAAACAGAACCAGTGCAGTCGGTGCTGATGTGGGGCCTCATGTCAGGTGGCAGCAATTCAGAAACACTAGTTTCATTCGTCAGTAGTAGTAGTAGTAGTAGGAGTAGCAGTAGCAGTAGCAGTAGTAGTAGTAGTAGTAGTAGCAGTAGCAGTAGCAGTAGTAGTAGTAGTAGTAGTAGTCGTGGTGGTGGTGGTGGTGGTGGTCGTTGTAGTAGTAGTAGTAGCAGTAGTAGTTGTTGTTGTACTAGTTGTAGTAGTTGTAGTAGGAGTAGCAGTAGCAGTAGCTGCAGTAGTAGTAGTAGTAGCAATAGCAGTAGCAGTAGCAGGAGGAGCAGTAGTAGTAGTAGCAGCAGTAGCAGAAAGTAGGAGTAGGAGTAGTAGTAGGAGTAGAATTAGGGGTAGGAGTAGGAGTAGTAGTAGGAGTAGAATTAGGGGTAGTAGTAGTAGTCGTCGTCGTCGTAGTGGTAGTGGTAGTGGTAGTGGTAGTAGTAGTAGTAGTAGCAGTAGTAGTAGTAGTAATAGTAGTAGTAGTAGTAGTAGTAGTAGTAGTAGTAGTAGTAGTAGTAGTAGTAGTAGTAGTAGTAGAAGTAGCAGTTGTAGTAGCAGTATATATTAGTAGTAGTAGCAGTAGTAGTAGTAGTAGTAGTAGTAGTAGTAGTAGTAGTAGTAGTGGCAGTAGCAGCCGCCACGGCTCAGACGTTTTGGAAGTTTCGCGCTGGCTTTCGAACAGGCTCTGGATTCCAACCTTGCGTTGCTAGAGGTCTCAAACAGGCCTCTCTCCGAACGACTAAGGGTTGGTTCCTCACGCTGAGCCATGTGCCATGTGCCAACAGTTTGCGTCTGAGCCGCCAGGTCCCAATTCCTGGACCCAGTACCCTGTCTCAACACGGGCCCACTGGGCAGGCGGTAGGGTTTCCACTAGCCGCGTGGTGGAGGGAGTCACTCGGCTTGCCTTGTGACGAAATAGCGGATGGCGCTGCTCCCAGTGCACTCACAAAATTATTCTCAGATCAGGAAGAATTCTTTCAAGCATGTTTGCCGACAGGTGGCTGCAAGCCAGCAGCCTGTTTCTTACCGAGGTCAGGTTCTGACCCCAGCTCTTCTCAGGCGCATGGGCAACTGCCCACCGCAGCCGGGCTCCAAGCAGTCTTTTGCACCACGATCTCGGGCAGGACAGGCCACCAGGCCTCTCCGAGTACTGTCCTGGAATGCAGGCCATCTTGGCCAGCAACAATGGTCGGAAGTCAAATCATGGCTCTCCACTGAGGCACACCACACCTGTGATGTGTTCGTCCTGCAGGAGACCCACTGGCAGGCTACGGCCGAATTTAGTGTTGCAGGCTGGTACTGCATCTCGTCTGCTTCTGCTGCAGATCCGAAGGCCTCTAGACGAAAGCAACGCGGGGGCAAGGCCCATAAACAGTCACCTGCAGAGGCAATGCCTAATGACGATAAGATGACCCCACCCCGCAAGGAGCCCTCAACAACTCGCGCGGACGGGGTTATGGTTTTCCTGTCCCCACACATACTGCCCAAAAGTGTGCGCTGGCAGGAACATGTCATACCCTGAGCATCCGCTATTGATTAGAATCAATATTTTTGGATAAATTTCCATTGATATTGATTTTGATGGCCTATATTGATTATATCAATTATATTGATATTGATTTTTTCTCTGTTGAAGTATATATTTTGGCATATTTATTTCTATTGATTTTACTGATACTTCCGATTGATTCTGGTATTGATTTTTTCTTGCTCCCTGATCCCTCGAAACAGGGATCGATTTCAAACATATGTAGCCCGAAAACATGAGTGCATGTGCACTGCCGGCGGCCTGCAACTTTGGCTCAAGTGTGCTGCTCCCTGCAGCGAGGTGGGAGCAGCTGGTGTAGGCTGCTGGAGCTCCGAAGGAGTGGACGGCAAGTTTGTTTCTGCCCTAGAAACAGGGTGGAGAGCGAAAACTTAAGGACCGTTTTTTGCATCCTGGGAAGGGAAAGCTTTCTGCCCTGGAAACAGGGTGGAAAGCATGGCCGCCAAGGGGCGAGGAGGGGCCAGGCACACCCCGAAGCCTTTCACAGACGAAGGTGTGCTGTTGAAAGTGCTGGGGGACCACAAGGACCTCATCAAGGACCTGGGACCCTACGAGCTAATCAGTCGGTCTGGTGCAGTGGACCCAAAGGGTCTGGTTCGCAACCTGGACCTGCTCAGGGACCTCCTGAGGGCCGAACCGACCGGTGAGGTCCACACCCAGCCGATGAGGCAGGCCCTGCTGAAGCTCATGAGAGATGACCCGACCGTGAACACTTCTTCTTTCAACGGGTCGGTGTGGAGCAACCTGAAAGGGGAGCGACTCGGCTGCTTGCTGAACCACACACGAAAATGGGCGAGGGCAGAGGTTGAGGGAAAGAGCAATGCAGCCAGCAAGCTCACGGCTTTCGAATATCGGAAGCTGAAAGAGCTTCTGGACCTGTTCCAGGACAAGGAGGTCCCCGAAACGGGACCCAGGCTGGCCTTGGAAGACAGGAAGCCGCCTTCGAAAGAAGGCAGGCAGCTGCGGCCCAAGCCTTCCCTGGACTCGGACGGTTTCCCGAAAATGTTTGGGGAAAGCCAGGCAAGCAGTCCCGAGAGTGCAGACGAAGCTTTGCCAAAGGGACGAGCTCCCTGCTCGGTGTCTTTCTTGAAGAGAAGAGCTGGGCAGAGCTTAATGGTAGGCCAAGAGGAGCCAGAAGAGGAGGCTGCTGATGCCTTGAAAGAGGCAATGGGCCTTGGTGGGACGGGTGCTGCTGCTGGAGGCAGCAAGCCTGCAAAAGGCAAAGGCAGGGGCAGAGGAAGGGGACGAGGAAGGGGCAAAGGCAAGGCAAAGAAAGGTCGGGGAAAGGGCCAAGAGCCGAAAGAGCAGCCCTTGAAAAAGCCGGCTGCCTCTCAGCCCATTCCCGGCCACGTGGGCGGCTGGAAAGCAGTCAGGAAGACCAAGGCCAGCAAGCCGGCCCGGTGCTACCTGACTGGTACCTTGGGGCCGGCTGGCAAGCGACTCCTGATCACGGAGGTGCCGGAAAGATGGACAAGCCAGTACGAGAAGGTCATCGACATCATCAAGAAAGCCTTAGAAAAGGATCCGAAAATGACGAAGGACCAGGCCCAGGCAATGAGGACCAGCCTTTGCAAAAAATACCCCTGAGAGGGGGTCTGCAAGAAGCTCTGCCCTTGAGAGAGGGTCTTGAACCCTCGAAACAGGGTCGACTGTGCAGCTGCCCGCCCTGGAAACAGGGTGGGCAGAAGTAGCTTTTTTGCAAGAGGCCCTGCTGGCCACGTCTCACCCTGACTTTACCGTTCAGGCCACCGGGAGCTAAAAAACAAGGGTTCGGGGATGGAAATACTTATTATGGAATATATATATATATATATATATATATATATATATATTCCATATTATATATATATATATATATTTATATTTCTTCCTTATTTTCTAATTTAGAAGAGTGTTCTGGAATCTGTTTTTATTATACTTTCTTTAAACGGTGCTAAACGAGAGGAAAGGACAAATTTGGGTGGGGGGGGGGGCAGGGCGGCAGAAAAATCGCACACACACACACACACACACACACACACAAACATGTGTGGGGTCTGGGGTCTTAGGGTGAAGCCTTTTAGAGTTTGGGGTTTCCCTTGAAGCTTTAAACCCCGGCCGGTAAGCTCGTAAATTTTATAGTGTCGCAGCTATATATATATATAGATATATATATATAGGTATATAAACTTAAGCCCCGATTCACTTGGAGCCCTTGAAAAAGGGCCTCCAGCAATAATTTAATGCCCTAGTCACCTGGAGCCCTTGAAAAAGGGCTTCCGGTAACAGGCTTCCCAAAATATATCCCTTAAAGAACCAATACCAAAACCTTTCAGCCTAGCCACCCCCAGGGTAAGGTAGCCTAGAGGCCCAACAAAGCTTTTAAAAGTAGAAGCCTGGAGACCCCAAAAGCCTAAAGGTTCGAGGTACCCCTAGACACCCTGAAGCCCAAGCCCAAGAGAAAACTCCGGTGTGTCCGCTGCCGTTTGGCTTAAGAGCTCGCCAGCGAGCAAGAGGTGGGGCACCCTGAGCAGGATGCCCGCCTCAAGGGCAGTCCCGGGAGTCAAGAATAGGCAAGGGAAGCCTATAGGTACCGGGACTAGCTCGAACAAGAGGAAGGCAGACCGCCTTGCAAGGTTCGGCCCAGGGTCGGACCAAGGAGGTCTGCAGTACTCTCAAGCAGCTGCAGCTGAAAGGGAGGAGGCTGCAGCTGAAAGGGAGGAGGAGAAGCTCGACCCTAGAAATAGGGTCGGGCAGTGGTGGACCCCTGAGCAGTGGAACCAGTGGGAAGAAGACTGGCGGGTCTGGCACCAGCACCGCGACTCTCGAAACAGAGTCGAGGAGGCCAAGTGGTGGGAAAAAGACCACGACGACGGCGAGGACTCCAGGCGGTGGTCGGGTGACAAGCCGCAGGAGCCAGCAAGCTACAGTAGCGGTGCTGGCTGGGCAGAGCCTTGGACCAGAGAGTGGGGGTCAAGCTGGGGAAAGGAGTGGGAGCCCTACTCGAAACAGTGGGGCTCTCAAGAGCCTTACAAGGCAAGCCCTTGAAACAGGGCTGAGGAGACTGAGGACGAGCTGATGGAAGCGAGGCCCGAGCCGGTAGTTTTGAGGGAAGCCCGGCGAGGAAGGCGGCACCGAGCCACCAGCACTTCCTCCGAGGCCAGCCGCTCCCGCACACCACCACGGCTGGACCCGGTGCCACCTGAAGGCATCGAGATAGTGGGTGCGAAGAGCTCGAACTCTAGCGAGCAGCCCTCGAAAGAGGAGCAGCAGCCGAAGCCCTTGAAAAAGGGGAACTCTAGCGAGCAGCCCTCGAAAGAGGAGCAGCAGCCGAAGCCCTTGAAAAAGGGGAACAAGCAGCAGCCCAAGGGATCTGTCGGCAAGGCAGTTCAGGGCAAGGGCAAGGCTGTTGCTGCCGAAGGTGTGCCAACAGCCAAGGAGCCATAGCCGGACACAGCTCCCGGCCCTAGAAATAGGGCTGATGAGGTGCTCCAGGCGGCCAAGCTGTGCTTGGACTGGCACCAAGTCCTGCAGCTGGGGAAGGAGAACGAGATCCGGCCGATGTGGAGTGCTTCCGTGCGAGCACTCAAGCAAGCGGGCTGGGAAGTCTTTATAATCTCCTTCGTCACTCCGACTCACAACGAGGCGAGAGTGCAGGAGATGTACAGGATGCTGGAGGCAGCCAATATCCGGGACCAGGTGACTGGGGTTTGGACCTGCCCTGAAAGGGGCGGGCCAAACGGGAAAGTCGCCCTGGCAACCAGTCTTGGCTGCTCTTTGATCCTGGACGACAATCCAGTGATCCTGCAGGAAGCCCTTGAAAAAGGGTTGAAGGTGTTCGCGATCACCACGAAAAGAGAGCGGCACCAGGACCTGGCCAAGAAGCCCGGTGTGCGAGTGTTCCGAGACCTCTGTGTGGCCACGGAAGCAATTCTGTGTCAGATGATAGACTGCAGAGACTTGTAACCGCCTCGCAAGGCAGCAGGCCCTAGAAATAGGGCCTTGGGCCCTTGAAAAAGGGTCCGTGCCAAGAGCACAGTAGCCCCTAGAAATAGGGTGCTACAGTCGCAAAGCAGCCCCTAGAAATAGGGTGCTGCAACCTAGCCTCACACTGCAGCCCCTAGAAATAGGGTGCTGCAGTGTTTTTTCGGGTTTCCACAATATAGAACCCCATAACCCTAAAGGCTTAAGCTTAGGCTTTAGACCCGGGCCTCTAGGGTTAGAAGCTAAGAGCTTCTAATATGTTGTAATGCTAATATATACTATAAATTTAAACTATATATAATATATATATATATAGTAGACACTATATATATATATATATAATATAGTAGCATAATTGTGGAAACCCGACGTCCAGGCCCGTCTCACCCTTCACACAGCTCGTTGTCCATCCGAGCGAAAACAGCTGGGCCCTGGGGTTTGGGGTTTGCTTTAGGGTTTAAGGGTTTCGGCTTCAAACCCTAAGCCCCACCAAAACCTTTCGCTTAAACCCTTAAACCCTAAACCCTTAACCTTATAGGGTTTGCTTTATAGGGTTTGAGGGTCTAGGCTTCAAACCCTAAGCCCCACCAAACCACTTCGCCTAAACCCTTAAACCCTAAACCCCACCAAACCCCAAACCCTTAACCTTAGGGTTTGCTTAAGGGTTTAAGGGTTTCGGCTTCAAACCCTAAGCCCCACCAAACCTTTTTGCCTAAACCCTTGAACCCTAAACCCCACCAAACCCTAAACCCTTGACCTTAGGGTTTGCTTTGGGGTTTAAGGGTTTAGGTTGTAAACCCTAAGCCCCACCAAACCCTTTTGCCTAGACCCTTGAACCCTAAACCCCACGAAACCCTAACCCCTAAACCCTAGGGTTCAGGGGCTGGCGGTTACGGTTTCTGGGGTTAGGGGTTGCTGTGTTTTTGGGTTTCTGGTGGTTACCGGTTCAGATTTTTAAGGGATAGGGTTTTAGGGGTTCAAGGTTTAAGGCTTGGGGGTTAAGGGTTCTGGTAAAAGGTGTTAGGGGTGAAGGGTTTTGCGGGTTTTAGGGGTTCTTAAGGGTTTTGAGGTTTAGGGTTCAGGGTTTTAGGGGTTAAGGTTTTAAGTTTCAAAGCTTAGTGATTTAGAGTTTTAGGGGTTAAGGGTTTAGTGTTTCAGAGGTTGTAACCGTTCAGGGTTTTAGACACGAAAACCCTAAACCTTAGAACCCTACAACCCCCTAGACCCTCTAGCCCCAAAAAGCCTAGCCTGTATAACCCTAGGCCCCAGCCCTAAGACACACAACAAAAGTTTGAAGCCCTTGGCAAAGGGCTGGAAACTTTAGAGTGTGTGGGAAAGGGGAGGGGGGGACGGTGGTGGTGGTGGTGGTTGCCACTGTGGTTGGTGGGTGGAAGGGGGGAAGTTGGGTTGGTGGGAAGGGCGGGAAGCTAGGTGGTGCGGGTTGGGGGGCGGGTGGGGGAGGCTGGTGGCAGGAACTGTGGAATCTGATCAAATCTGATCAAATCTGATCAAATCTGATCAAATCTGATCAAATTCTGATCAAACCACTGTTTGATCAGAATTTGATCAGGATTGATCAGATTTGATCAGATTTGATCAGAATCTGATCAGATTAATCAAACCCGGCACCTTTTTCAAGGTGCCGGGCGAACACCAATTGTTTATGGAGAAAATAATGTTTGGTGGATGGCAGGGGATGGGTCTTTGGGGCTGGCCAATGTAAGCGCTTTTTTTGGTGGTGCTGCCGTGGGGCTGGGTGGGAAGAGGTGGGTGGATTGAGAGGTGAAGGGAATGGTTAATTAGGCGCTTTTTTGGGTTTTGGGACGGGGTGGGGAGGGTGTGATGTATGTTTCAAGCAGTAATTTATCTTTTTTTTATTTATGGGTGCTTACTGCACTTATGTTTGTATATGTTTGTTTCTGGATGTACTTTTCTATTTACTTAGAAATTTTAACATACATATATATATATATATATTTTTTTTTTTTTGATGGATTGTTTCAGAATTTTTTAGATATGATATATTGTATATTATACGTGAAACACCATATGTTTACGATTGTATACATTGAATCACTTTTGAAACTATGATTAGATTTTGCATTGCAATGATTGAAACGATTACTAACGTTTGAAAAGGAATGATTTAGCTATATATATATATATATATGTAGCTACATATATATATATATATATACATACATACATACACTGAAATTCCATCTAGTTTCCATAGACTTATAGGTATGTACGATTGAAGTATTTTGTGTGTATATATATATATAAACAGAAATCCCAAGCCCTCGAAAGAGGGCACAACAAACCCCAAATGACAGCAACACTCACAAAACCACAAACCATCAAAGCCCGAAAACCCGAAACCTCGAAAACCCTTAAACCGCCCAAAACCTTAAACAACCCTGAAGCCTAGAACCCCCAAACCCCCAAAGCCCTTGAAACCAAAAATCCCCAATCCCCTCAAAACCCTAGAATAATAATTATTTAAACCCTCAAAGCCTTAAAGGCTTCAAACCTAAAGCCACGGAAACCTAGAACACCCAAAACCCCAAACCTTCGAAACCTTAAAAAGCCAAACCCCCAAAGCCCTTGAAACCTAAAATCCCCAATCCCCTCAAAACCCTAGAAGAATAATTATTTAAACCCTCAAAGCCTTAAAGGCTTGAAACCTAAAGCCACGGAAACCTAGAACACCCAACACCCCAAACCTTTGAAACCTTCAAAAGCCAAACCCCCAAAGCCCTACCCCCCTAAGCCCCTACACCCCATCACAAAACCCTCTAATGTTTTTTTTTTAACTCCGGGACCAGAAGCCGAAACGGGCCGCCATGTGGCTCAAAGAAAGAAGCTTCAAGCTTAGTTTTTTTCGCAGAAAACCCACTCCTGAGGAGTGGGTTTGTCCGAAGACCCCAGAATGGGGAAAAAAGGAAGCTTCCCGACGAGCAAGCTTCAGAAAGTGAAGGCCAAGGCCAAGTGTGTGGCCAAGGCCAAAGCGAAGGCCAAAGCGACGGCCAAAGCGAAGTCTTTTGCTTCAAGGGCCCTGAAAGGGGCTCTTGCGAAGGCCAAGGCGAAGGGCCCCCTGAAAGGGGTGCTCAAGCCGACGAAGCACAACTTGAAGAAGCTGGGAAAGGAGAAAAGTTTGGCAGAGAAGGTTCAGGACCTTGCAAAAGGAGCCGACACCGCAGAGGAGGCGGTGTCGAAGGTCCAGCAGGGCCTCAGCAAGCTGGACAAGAGCAAGTTGTGGAGCCAGCACAACACCCACTTGAACAGGAACCCCGAGGCCAAAGAGAAGCAGGACAAGCTGGGGAAGAAAGACAAAGGTGCTGCTGCGACACTGTGGTTCCTTCGAGACAAGGTGCCACAGTTCGCCAACTTCTCAGAAAACAGGGAGGAGGCGACGACCTTGAGAAAGGTTGACAGGTGGTTGTCGGAGAAAGAAGCCCTGAGCAAGTGGACAGAGGCCGAGCTTGAAGCCCACTGCCAGTCGGGCAGAGTGCAGTACCGGGAATGCCCAACCACGTGGGGGGTGTGGGAATACCGTGACAACCACGACTTCGTCAAGGAGACCTCTGGAAGGAGGTCTCGGAACTGGTCCCGTGGCCAAGAGTTCCACCTCGAAGACGACGACGAGCAGGAAGAAGGCCTGGAGGACTTTTTCGCCTTGGACGTGGAGAAGCTTTTGGGCCTCACAGAGGGCAAAGGGAAAGGCAAGGCTCTGGCCTTGACAAAGGGTGGAAAAGCCAAAGGAAAAGGCGGCAGGAAAGGCAAAGGCCAGCAGCAGGAGGAAGGGCAGCTCGCCCTGCAGGACGGCTCGACAGCGGAGGAGAAGGACGACGACGTGCAAGCTTACTTGGGCAAGGCCAAGAAGGCAAGGGACCTGCTGTCGTGCACATACAACAACCTCGAAGAGGCCTTGGCAAAGGCCAAGGCTTCGTCCTACTGCAGTGCCGCCTCGCAGAAGGATGCCAAAAAAGCTTTGGCAGACCTGGACGGGCTGCTGCAGAAGACGAGTGGTGTCCTCGAAGAGAGTCTGCAAGAAGGAGGTGGTGGTGAGCCTCCTTCAGCAGGCGGCGGCCACGGTGAACCAGGCGAAAGACCTGGGGAAGGAACTCCTGGCGATGGCTGCCAAAACACCCAGCAAGTCCTCGAAGCTGAAGTAATCAGCTCGGGCACAGTGGCATCCCTAGAAACAGGGTGTAAGACCACTGCCAGTGCTCTCGAAACAGAGCACAGCACTCCTTTGCTCTCGAAACAGAGCAGGACAGCCGTTGCTCTCGAAACAGAGCACAACCGTCCTCGACAAAGTTTTTTTTCGTGTCACAGCTTCGGCTTGTAGACCGAGCCTGCCAACAGGCTGGCGACAGACCGGACTGCACTGCTGCAGCTCTGCCAAAAAGAAAGGGTTCTTGTGAGCAGTGTTTTGGGTTCTAGGTCCTTAAACCCAGAAGCCCCAAGCCCAAGCCGAACCCTCAATAACCTTACGCAGTGCCCCAAGGCCCAAGCCTCACCTCAAGGAACTTGCTTGGCAGCAGAACCTCTTCGCTGCCGTTTTGGCTTGAAATCATAGCGAAGCTAGAGCCATGGCCGGCCGTGAGCGAGGCCAGCCAGCCAAGAGGCTCAGAGGCCATGCCCTGGACTTGGCAAGGGGCACGGCCGAGCAAAAGGAAAGGGTTGAAAGAGGAGAAAGCTCCCTCGCAACAGGGTTGCTGTCCTTGTGGGCTCATGGGAACATAGCAGCCACGACCATGTGTTGGTTGGCCCTCCTCGCCACACTGGACGGGGTGGAGCACGAGGAAGTTGTAGCCTTGGCCAAGGCTGGCAACTTCGGGCAAGTTCCCGGCAACTGTGCCAGGGACGTGACGAGAAGGTTTTGCAGTGCTAGCCGTGTGCCAGAGCCTCTGCAGGTGCCCATCCCGGTCTTGGACCCTAAAACAAACAAGGACTCGACTGAAGATGCCGGAATCATGTTGCCACACATGGTCTTCAGTACCCTCGCAACAGGGTACCCGGCAATCTTCGAGTCTTTGGGCTTGGACAAGCTCGAAGCTTTTTGGAACAGTGCCCTCGCAACAGGGGACGACCGACTGGAGAATGTACCTGCCCTCAAAGGCAGGGACTGGAAGAGGAAGGTCGTCCCGCTGTTCGTTCACGGGGACGGTGTGGAGTACCAGACCAGGGACAGCCTTATGGTGTGGTCTTTCGGAAGTCTTCTGAGTCTTTTCTCCGATAGTCTGATGAAGCACTTCCTCATGGCAATGTTCCCTAAAATAGCGACCTCAGCGAGCACCTGGCCTGGAATCATGAAATGGCTAGTCTGGAGCTTCGATGCCCTCGCCAAAGGGTACCACCCCAAAAAAGGGCCTGAGAACGAACCCTTGAAAAAGGGTTCGGTGTTCGAGAAACTGAAAGGCCAACCGCTCACTCCTGGCCATCACAAAGGCATCATTTGGTCCCTGCAAGGGGACCACGACTTTTTCAGCAATGTAGTGGGACTGCCACACTGGCAGTCCCACTACCCGTGCTGGGAGTGTGATGCTTCCTTGAAAGAGGAAGCAGCACGACATGGCAAATGGGTCAAAGAAATCGAGCAGGACAAGCAAAACTTCGTTCGTGTCACCTCGAAGCAGGCAGCACGGCACCCGAGGTCTGCCCATCCTCTCTTCACCCTGGACGGTGTGACCACTCGCCTTGTAAGAGGCGACGGGCTCCACATTATGTTCACGAAAGGCATATATGCCCACCTGTTGGGCTCGGTGTTACATTTTTTCTGTTGGTGGGACGAGCCCGGCCACGTGCAGAAAAAAACGCCGGCCGAGAGGCTCGGGCTTTTGTGGGCAGCAATTCAAAGGGAATACACGGCTCTGCGAGTAGAAACCCGTGTAACCAATTTGAGATTGAGTATGTTCACCAATCCAAAAACGCCATGGGCTGTCACTCCTTTCTTGGAGTGTAAGGGTGCCGAGAACAAACACTTGCTGAAGCCACTCGCAACAGTGGCTAGGAAGCTGCTCGACACGACCGAGCCTGTGCAATGCTCTATGCTGTCCGCCTTGGAGTGCATGTCGGACCTCGTCGAAGTCTTCGATGAGGCCGACATGTTCCTTGCAGACAATGAGTTTCGCAAGGCAGAAAGCCTCGCAAAAGGCTTTCTCGACAGCTACAGCTTCCTGAACCAGTGGTCCCTTGAAAAAGGGTACCCTGGATTCAGGATTGTAATGAAGCACCATACGTTTCAACACCTGGTAGAAAACTCACGTTTTCTCAACCCACGTGCTCATTGGTGCTTCGCTTCGGAAGATTTTGTGGGCCGAGTCAGTCGCCTGGCAAAGTCTGCGGCTTCCGGGGTTCGCTCCACACGGCTCAGTGTCAAAAGCATGCACAAGTATAGAATTCTTATGCACTTGCTTATGACCCGCCCATCCATACACGATGTGGTGCCGGAGCTAGATGGCATGGCCGATGAGTTCTAGCCACAGGGAGCGGCTGTAGCAGCCTTGCCTCTCGAAACAGGGTGCAAGCTTGGCAACCCTGGAAACAGGGTTGCCATGCCCCTCGAAAGAGGGTGCAAGCTTCCAGATCCTGGAAACAGGGTTGCCTTGCCTCTCGAAAAAGGGTGCAACCTTACGAAGACCCTAACAACATGGGCCCTAAACCCTCTCCAGCCTCAAGACCCTAGAAACAGGGCTGCTTGCCCTCTCCTCAACCCCAGAAACAGGGCTGCTTTCCCTCTGCAGCTTCAAGACCCTAGAAACAGGGTTAGCAGACGTTTCACCCTGCATGTTTCACCCCATGAGTGGCAGGATTGCAGGTGCTCCTTGTGCAAAAAAGGTCTCAGCCCGGACTGTAAGGCCCCCATAAAGATTGATTTGAAGATTGATTTTGGAGTAAATTTCTATTGATTTAAATATTGATTTTACGCTTCCAGATTTCATTTTAACCTATTGATATGAAACATAGCGAGAATCAAGTTTTATAATTGATTTCCTTCGAAATCAATTCGGCTCAGCCCCGATTGATCCTAATCAATAGCGGATGCTCAGGGTAGGCAGAGCCCTGGAGGTCAGGTTTGACTGGCACGGGGCCCGCATCAACCTGGTTGCTGTGTATCAACACGTCTGGTCACCGGCCAAGCAGGTACAGACCAATCGTCAGGACAGAGCACATGTCCTGAAGGCTCTTAGCAGATGCGTGCAACGCGTGCCGCACAGGGACACGCTTATCCTGGCAGGAGATTTCAATAGTTCCTTGCAAAAGCAGCCTAGGCTGGTTGGTCCAGAGATCATTAGCCCACAGGAACCGAGATCTGATGAGCCAGAGCTTACCAACTTTCTGCTTAATCATCGCTTGGTTGCCCTCAACACGTGGAGGCCTCAGCCGCCACATACGTTTCAGCAAGGGGATACGCGCACTCAAATTGCTTTGTGCTTACGAGGGAGGTCTCTGCTGGAGGAGCTGCCAAAAACTCTACGCCGCTGGCAGCTTTCCCGCTTGGAAGCTGGAAGAAAGGCGGGCACTTACCCATCAGTGCAGCTGTCAAACCAGTTCGGCACTGGAACCTGCCAGCCCCTCAGATACAGCAGCATCATTATGACACCGCTGCTCTGCAAGCGGCTGTCAGGGACAACACGCTGCCAGCTCAGCACATGCTCGAGTGGGTTACAGCACGACTCACTCCGGACATGCAGCCGGCGTCATGGGATCGCCTCCTTGGCGAAGCCGCATCCAGGTTTTTCCCTAAGACCCCAGTGGCAATGCCAGATAGTCCGGAGACGAGCCTTGCCAGACGCATGTGGCGCTCGGCGCGTGGGAGCAATGCTCACCCCAGTGCGGAGCCATCGCCGGAGGATGAAGCCCGGCAGAGGCTGTGTGATCAGCATAAACAGGCGGTTAAGCAGGCTCGCAAGGACCAGACCAAACGGTTTCTTGCTGAGGTTGATCAGGCTCTGAGCCAGGGCGATCAGCACCTGGCATATCAGACTCTTAAGCACCTCCGGCCGTGGAAACCGGCTTTGAAAGCTCAGCTTAAGGACGCGCACGGCTTCCTGCTCAGTCCTGCAAACGAACTGGATGAACTGGGGAAGTATGCAACTAAGGTCTTTGCGGCGCACCCACAGCTCCCGTCTGATTCGGGACTCCTGCCCCTATTGCCACAGACCAAGTTAGCAAAACATATTGCCTCGATCAAGCCTAGCAAGGCAGTTCCGAAAGGAGCGGCACCGGCCGCAGCCTGGAAGCTCTGTGCTCAGCCGATCTCTGCGGCGCTTTCACAATACTGTTCAAGCCTGACGCAGGACCAGTCACTGGACGACGATCTGACTCGCGCAGATCTCTGCTTAATCCCAAAACCGGGCAAGCCGGCTGACAAGCCTTCACAACTCAGGCCGCTGGGCATTCTTCGCCCGGATGCTAAAGGACTGGCGGGCACGGCCAAGGAGCTCCTGGAGCCTTTCACGCTGCCATACATGAAGCCTCTACCCCAGTTTGCATACCTCCCTGGGAGAGGTCTTTCGGATGCACAGAGCAGAGTGGTTCAGCATTTAAGGGAAGCAAGGCAGCTCTGTCGCAATGCGAATCTCACCCGAGCGGATCAGCAGCGGGGACAATGTCCTGTAGGTCTCGTCGGCGGCATCACTTTCGCACTAGACCTGTCACAGGCATTCGACACTGTGTCCCGAAGTGAGATCTTGTCCCTGCTAGATGAGCTGGGCGCGGATCCCCCGCTTAAGAAACTCATACACGGCCTTCATCATCGATCTAAATACAGACTTCATTCTCAGGGGGCCTACAAGGACGTGGAAACTACCACTGGCATCAAACAAGGCTGCAAGTTGGCCCCCACGCTGTTTTCCGTGCTCACAGGCCGCCTCCTTCATAGACTGATAGACGCATTTGGCTGGGACAATGTCCGCAGATACTTTACAGGTTACGCGGACGACTTCACCATGCATCGCACCATCCGCAGCCAAGCAGACGTGGACGCTGCTCACAAGATGATCCTACAGCTTCTGTCGGAGGTGACGAAACTGGGATTACGCGTCAACCCGGCCAAATGTGCCATGCTAGTCAAGCTTAACGGCAGAGAGGCGGAAGCCGTGCTTCAGAAGCACACCTGCTGGCTGCCCGACTCGACGGGCACACTACAGCGGCATTGGCGACTGGGCAAGCACAGATCCTTCCCTGCATACAAACTTGAGGCGCAAATCAAGTACCTGGGCATCCAAATTTCCTATGGGAACTTTGAAATGCAGACGCTGCGATTCCGCATAGCGGAGGCTGCCAAAAAGCTCCAGCAGGTCAAGCGATTCGTCTACAATCGCCGCACCGCGGGGCCAATGG